TGACTGAGAAATCCAAATAATGCTTGTTTAGTTCATGCTTCATTTATTTCCCACTCTATTTGAGATTGTTAACCACTTTCTCTTTTCCAAAGGCCCTCTTCTCCCTTGGTTTTGATACAGGGCAGCAAGGGGCACTAAAACAAGCCAAGGACACTGTCCAAAGTGTTCAGAGAACAATAATAATGGGATTTATTTAAAAACCCAGGGAAAAACAGAGTTACTGAGGCCATTAAAACAATGATCTTTGTTACTGTAAAAGAAAATTCAGTTTAATTAAAGAAATTCAAGAAGAAAATTTCAGGACTCTTGATCAAAAGCTTTAATGCTTGTTGTACTACTCTGATACATACAAAGTTTCAAGCAAGGCAAAGAGTTTGCCTTTCCCAATGAAGACATGATCCAAGAAATAGGAGAACCAGGAATTCTATATGCACTGGCTAGTCATCAAGAGGTTGCCAGGAAAGGGTTCCTTAAGGTAGTCATCACATTTAAAAAGCCTTACCCACTATGACAAAAATCATTTAGAGTTATGAATATAAGCATAACTGGGTTTTTGCCTTCTATGAATAATCTTTGAAATGCTAAAAGTGAGTTCCAGTTGTGGTTTCTTTTCTGGTGTGAGAAACCGCAGGTACTTGTGGGATGATCACCAAGTATTCCTTGGAAGCAGTCGGATGTGGGTTGACTGTAGAAGAATCCAGTGTTCAGTTTGCTGGGCAGACTTTTCCACAGACGTTCGCCAAGCAGAGTGTGTCTTCACACTTAGATCCACTGGGAGCTCACTGACACTCGAATGCTTGATGACGCCCTTGGGATCAATTATGAAGAGACTTCTCAGGGCCAGACCAGGATCTTCTAAAGGCAGGTGTTTAGTAAAATCAGACAAGAGTACAGGGTTCATGTGGCTCAAGGCACATTTCTTCCTTGGTGTGTTTCCCACGTAAGATGGCAAAAGTGGGAATCCACTGAAAGTGCAGCCATGTCAAAGTTCATGAAATTAATTGGCTTTGTCACTGAGAGCAACAATTTCTGAAGGGCACGTAAAGGGTGAAATCCAAAGGGTAGAAGGGCACCAAGAACTTCCGCTTAAAGTCATCAAGGCTTATCTTTTGAACTGAGTTCTTTGAACTTTTACAACAGGTGTATCCTTAAAATAGAGTGCATTAGGGTGACAGGAGGAGCATGGTATGAGGAACTGGTGCTAAAGGCAAATTTTGCTTGACTGGAAACCAGACCACTATACATCCCTTCAAGTTCGTCCAGAAGCAGCCGCTGCAAGAGGCACTAATGCTCCAAGAATGGCGCTTAGGAGTCACCCACCGGACACTTGGGGTGACCCTCCCGCCTTGACTGCCATTGTCAGTGCCGGGTCCCTTTTCACAATTTTATTGTGAACACACACATCACAAATTTCTAAAAAACAAATAATAAAATGAGTGCGTGAATGAATGCAAGCCAGATGAACGTGAGAAATGTCCATCCTCACCGAATTTCCCACCTTTTAAGTGACTCTATATTCTCTTTATAACAAGAAATTACGTCTTTCACTGCTTTCTCTGCACAGCTTTCCCCGTGGAATCTTTAGGGGTGGACAAGGGCTCCCACACTCCCCCTGGGGGCACAGCTGCATTTCTGTCCTGCCGCAGCCCTGCAGGGGCTGCTTTATTTCAAGGCCCGGATAAGGTGTGGCAGGTCTGGGGGCCTGGGAAGACTTTAACCACAGAACCCCGCCCTCTCTAAAAGAAGGTGGGGAGGGGAAGCTCAATCAGTCTGGACTGGGGAAGGGTGGTGTTAGTGGAAGAGGGTGGTCCCCAGGAAAAGGGCAGGTTTCAGGTTTGGGCTGCCCCGCTCCCTGCCCTGTAACAGTGGGAGCCAGGTGTGCAGAGTTAAGAGGCATGACCCCCCCCAACCTGAAAGAACAATACCTTAGCAACCTTACTCCTTCACTGCTCCGGGCAGCTCTCCGCTTGCTGAGTCTGCCCAGGGCCTGGGCAGTGTTCGTCCTGGGACTTCTCCATAAACCCCGTGGCTGGCTTCCTTCTGGGGCCTAGTGCAATTCCCTGGTCGGTCCCCAGCAGAACACCGCCTGCATTTTTGTTCTTTGCTTTCCTTAAAGAAAAGCAGCTCTGGCTTTTCCCACATCGTTTTGATGTGTTTGTCGGCGCGCAAGCTCCACATAGAGCTCACACTGCGCATTCCTCGCAGCTCCCCAAACACAAGCTCCACCTCCATGTTCTCCCACTTTCTGGGCGGCGGTGGGTGGGGCGGCGGGAGAATTGCAGATTCCACGCCGTCTTGTATTTCATCTAATTCTCAGCTCCCCCTCGTATTGATTGGATCCTGTTTGGATGTTCCAGGTTTCTCTGCCTAGCTTCCCTCTCTATTTATGCCTTAATTCCCAAGTCCAAACGATTTTTCAGCCGTCTCTTTACGATGGCCATTAAGGGAAGGATGCTAAAGCCCCCTGTAGTGGCTCTGTTATAGAGCAGCCCCGATACTGAACGGGGTGCCTGGCTGTGGGTCCTCACCTGTGCGCTTACAAGGGACTTATGAATCCTCCACTACAGGCACACACAAAAGGTTAATAAAAGGTTTATTTACAAGGGAAAAGGAAATAAGGAAAATGTACAACTCAGGGAGAAAATAGGGAAATAAAGTCTTTAATGCGTCCTACCCGATCCGCCGACCTGGAAACCCAAAGGCACTCTCAGAGCTGGCCTGACACTGCGAGCTGGCGGAGAGCCAAAATGGGGGACCCCTCCAAAGCCCACGTGTCTGCCTTATATCAGCCTGGCTGCTTAACCCCACCCACAGGTCCCAGCCACCTTCCCTTTGGTGGTGATGGGATTGGGAGTTCCCAGTGTCTTTGGCTTTGGCCTGGGGTGGGGGTGGAGTCCACAAAGCCTGTATGGAATTAGCTTTAGGACAGCCTTTTCCCCTAACAGCAGGATGGCGAGGAGCTGGTTCTCTATGATCCAAGCAGAGCAGAGCAAAGGAGAGTCCTGGAGCCCTCGGTGGGTTTCCCAGGCTTTTATTGAGCAGCCAGGTACATAGCAGGAGGGGTGGGGGGCAGGAGGCCGGGAGACCTCCAAGCCCCCTCAGATCTTCACTCTGCGCTTCTCTGGGTTCTTTCTCCCCTTCTCTCTCCTCTGCTTGTCTTGGAGACGTATCTATACTGCAGCCATAGCCCACAGAAGTAAACAACACAACTTAAAATAACAATATAACAAAATGCAGGTGCCCACATCAGGCAGGGCAATCCTAATGGTGGGAGGGCGGAACAGCCTGAAAGTCTCTTATCCAACATCCACTTTTCCCCAGACCTGCCTTGGTTTATTTTTGATAAAGGGAAACGAAACTTAAGTGCCCAGGAGAGAGAAAGGGAAACGAAACTAACTGCTGCATTTAAACACCGTGCCTGGCAGCTGCAGCCAAGCTGTGCCTCGCCTAGTCCAGGGGTCACCTGAGCGGTCCAGAGGTCACCCGAGCTTCCACTGCAGGAGCTCCCCTCGGCCACTGCCACCCTGCGGGGCGCTCCACTTAGCGGCGGCTCTACGAAGGCAACAGGTCGGGTCCGGGTCTGGGGTGAGGAGTGCTAGGGGCGTCCAAGGGAGGGACCTGGAGCACACCAGGCGGGCGGGGACTCCCGGCCCCTGTGAAAGGGGCGGTGGGCCCAGCGCTCGTCTCCCGGGAGCCCGGGCTAGCGTGGGGGCGCCTCGGCAGCGCGCACCGGGCGGGGCGGCCGGGGGAAGGTAGGGCAGGGGAGAAGCTGCAAAAAGGGACACTCCTGAGGAGCAGGGAGTTCGGAGAGCTGGAGAAAGGAGAGTGTTCTGGCATTGGAGGGGTCATCTTTAAAAAAAGGGGGTGCTGGAAATCTGGGGTACTGAGGAAAAACTAAAGGAGGTGAAACGGGCACAGCCAAAAATATCTCCATATTGATAACAGGCTGCAACTCCTCCAGGCAGACCCCCAGGCCCTGCTGCAAACTTACAGAATCAAACTCTGCATTTCAGTAAGATCGCCCAGGAGATTCCGATCCATCTTACATTCCAGTGACTTAATACAATAAGAATTTATTTCTTACGTAACAATCAAGAGTATGTTTATGGTCAGAAGGCTTGTATCAACTTTTTATTGCTGCATGACAAATAATCACAAATTTAGTAACTGAAGACAATAAAATTTACTATTTTGTCGTTTCTATGGATCATAAAGCCCAGCATCTCACCAGGCTGAAATGAAGGTGTCTGCCTGCTCACCTGGCTCTGGGTACTGGGTCAGGTTGTTGGAAGAATCCAATTCTCAGTGGAGGTGGGATAGAGGTTCTTTGCTTTCTAGCTGGCTGTTAGCTGAGTGCTATTCTCTGCCCCTAGATTCCACCCTCAGGTCCTGTCCTGCTGATCCTCTCTGCATGGTGGCTTAAGTCTCAAAGAGGACAACCTCTCCTTTCTGCTATGACAGTGTGAGGGATGAGGGGAAATTTCCCTCTACCCTTTTGCATTTTTCTGGTACTGGCCCATTAACAAAATTAATATCAGACAGATTAGTAGGTGGGGAAAAACATTTAATCATGAATATGTAGATTTCAAAGACAATGAGGCAACATGGGGTGTATGTCCTGAGCTAAGAAATGAGTTGGAGCTACAGAGCGAGGCGAACTCAACGTGCAGAAAGAGAGGGTGATTCATAGGAACGACACTGGAAGCTGGGTAAGATTTCTCAGATAAATGAAAATTTAGGATGGAGGCATCACAAGACCTGAAACTGGAGGTGTGGGTAGAAATGATTAACACAGTTGTTAAGCCAGCTATAGAAATGAAAACTCTTCAAGTCCCAACTGCTGTGGCAAGCATCAGCCTTCTGTAGAAAGGATCCGGAGGCGGAGACCAGACAGACCACAGGTGGGGACATGGAGATTGAGGACCATTGTAAGGAATCACTGGTCCTTACAAATCAACTAACTCACAACTTAGAAGGAATTTAGATAACAATTCTGCAACAGGGTGGTCCCCAGGAAAGGGGGAGGTTCCCTGCCCCACCCAAGGGAGGGTGGAGCTGAGCAGGAAGAGGAGAAGCTGCAGAAGAGACGGAGGAAGGAAGCAGGATGGAGAAGGAGACCTGGAGGAGGCACATGGAGCCTAGAGACACGTAAAGAAACTGCGCTTGTCTTTTGGTCGTGGACTGGGTGACACAGATGTGGGTGAGACCTGTGGGGAGGTGACAATGGCAGCTTTTATCTTGATGTTGATTTTGCTCTTTTCCTTCCGGGCTTGTCCGGTTGTTTGTGACCCTTTTCTGTGGGTCCCCACTGGAAGATGCTTTAGACTTGTAGCAGGCTTTGGGGCCTTGTTCTGGGCCAATCCCATATGGATGGAGTTTTACCCACGAGGGGACGGGTAACTTTGGGTGCTTCATTTAGAAACTAGACTCTTTGCCTTACCTATATTGTTTCCTAGTTTTTATTAAAGTTCCTTCCCATTAAAGTCTTATATGTTTTGTGTTGATGCGGCGGATGGCAGAACCCATTTAGAATAAGCAGGTTTGCGGGGTTTGGGCTGCCCCTCTCCCTGTCCTATAACAATTCCACAAAGGAATGAACTCCCCAAATGTAAAGCACTGTGTTAGTAGTATTCCTGCATGGGCAAGACTCCACTTCCCTCTCAAGACTGCCCTCTTGTGTCCATGAGGTCCTCTCTTTCAGCAAACCTGGCCCTGTTCAGAGACAGCTTTCCTACCTGCCTGGGACTATGCCGAGCCTTTCTTTTCCAAAGCAGCAGCAGCTCTCCTGCCCACCTGTGTCTGTGCAGGAGTCTCTTTCTTAAACCCACCCCTTTCAAAAAGGCCGCTCTCTTTCCAAGACTACCACCTGTGTCTATGCAGGAGTGTCTTTTAACAAATCTGTCCCTTTCAGAGGTAGCTGCTCTGCCTCCTTGTGTCCATTTATATAACAAAATTACCCTTTTGTATATAACTAAACCTCTCTGCCTTGTGGAGAAACTCACCATGTGCTGCTGAAAGGGGAACTCTGGTGAGACTTCTCAGAGGTAAGGACCCCATCTCTGAACCCAATACCTCATCAAAACGACATCAGTAATAACCCTAATTCTGAGTAATACCCCCAATTTTCCCTCTCACTCCCTCTCTCTCTTCTCCCCTCCTTTTCACTCTTCTCCTTATCACCTATCATCTGTTATTTAAGTTTTAAAATCCCAACACATTGAATGGCATATTTGAGGAATGTTTCAATGACAAAAATGTTCAAGCCCATTTTTCCTGTGCCTTTGGTAGCTCTTTCAGTTACTTTTGAAGTTTTCATCCACTCTTGCTACATATTATGGCCTATAGATTATCTCTATATTTCCTATATTATATAAATGTAATTATTTATATAAAATGTATTTATATATTTAGTATATGGCATGTATATTTAATAATGCTAGTCATCCACAAAACTGGATTTTCTTTTCTTTCATGGTGCTTTCTCTGTCCAAACAAGTGCATCTTCACCAATGCCCTCACTTAACTTAATACTCACAGTACTCATATATTCAGATCTAATCCAGACTTTATGTTTGACCTCTAGTTCTGTAGATTTAAATACTTAGGTCACATGTTCCATGGCAAGTCTACAAAGCAATTCAAACTCAGATTGACTGCAAATGAATTCATGATCTTCCCCTGAAACGTGGGCTTGCTCCAAGTCTCCTGCGCAAGGAATGGCCTAATTAAATGTCCATCCCCTTTGTATTAGGTAGAGAATCCTAAGTCATTCTTGACAACCCTTACTTTTCCCTCTGCTCCATCCATATCTCTTACCCACTACTAAATTATGAAGTCCTTCAATAACACGATCTCTCCAGCTTTATTAGGCCAAACTAATCACAAACATCTATCTCTATTCTGAATAACAGATTTTTATCTCTGCTCTATTAACAGGAACTTTGCTCCCATTCTATCTGTTCTCTGTACTGTGGTCAGAATGAATTTGCAAGATGCAAAGTTACTACCTACTAAAAATTCTATTAATGGACTTTGGGATGAAGAGAACATTCTATAATATGCCCTCAAATATTCTGCATACCTTTATATTTCTGTTGCACAGGTATCTCTTCCTTCCATTCTAGGCCCATGACTTCATATTAGGATCCAGTTCCATCTACAACACTTCTTCATGTCACATGACTGTTACAAGTGGTATTCGGGTATCCTCTCTGCCTAGAATCCAGCTACTCCCACTCTTACCCTTTGCTTAATTAATCCTTATTTCATCCTTTAGAGCGCAGCTTAAGCATTACTTCTGTAGGGAAGCTTCCTCTGATGGTTTTATCCTTGATACATTTGCTATTTTCCATTGTTTATGTGATTAAATTACTGATACTTGTTTTTCATGATAGATTTTAAACTCCATGAGAATGCAAACATGTTGATTTTTGCTCATTCTTGCAACCACAGTGCTTAATATTTTGCTTAACATGTATTACTATTGCTTCTTGATGGAAAAAATGACTTTCTTATATTCTTTCTTTATAGGTCTGCCATTTTCATTAACAATACCAAGGATATTAAGGATATTTGCTACTTAATAATTTCCAGTTCAGGTTGGTTGATAGCAAGAATGGATGTTTCAATTTAAAACATTTATAGATTGTAAAATAATGATTATTTAAGTTACATACATGTAATAGAACTAAACTACTACTTTTTTTTCTTTCTCAAATGATAAGTAAATGATAGCCCTTTTAAAAAAAGATTAATCATTAAAAATGATCTATTCTCTTTCTCTCTTTCTTAGAAGACACAATGATTTTAGAGCAGATGTCACAGTTAATTTTGAATGAAATGCTGGGAGCTGAGTAAGTATTGTTGTAATAGACAAAGGGATGTAAAATCTTATATTCCCTTTAATCTATTTGGCCTAAGGTGTTAGCTATCTATCTATCTATCTATCTATCTATCTATCTATCTATCTATCTATCTATCATTGTCAACACTGAACTTTTAGAGCACTATTTTATGCTTATTGGAAACTGTTTTCTTTCTTTATCCTCAATTGTTGATTTGTCAATGATCCCATGGTTTTATAAAGGAATTGGACTGACTGATCAGTTTTTGTTTTTGCTAAAAAATGGAAATGCTCCTGTCTTCTTATGAAGGATAGCCCTGCATATGGATATAGTTAAAATGTGTTAACATAGAACCCAATGTAAAACAGTTGGTCAAAAATCCAGCCATTTAAATAATGAGATAATAACAATGCTTTTGCCTTATCGGGACATTATTTAATCTATATGTAATTTGTGCGTAATGCCTTTATTTTAGATATTCCAGTTTATTCAATGATTTTGTCGAATCTGAATTTTTCCTGGTTGATGGCGATGCATTACTTATCTCATGCATATGTGATAAATCATTAAAACCGGGACAGGAACTGCACTTCTTCTATCTGGTTGAACACTACCTTGTGGATCTTACTAGAAAAGGAGGACAATTTGCTATAGTTTTTTTCCAGGTAACATGTGACAGTTGAGTTCTTTTGTATGATTTGAGAACCAATACTAAAATTCCTCATTGTCTTATAGGGTTTTTTTTTTCCTATTACAAAGCAATGTATATGTAAAAATTAAGAAAATTAATGACTTGTATCATGTATAACCCAATTAAACCAGTGAACTTGATAAATGCAAAATAATTTACTTCTCTTTCTACCCCACAGGATGCTGAGTTTGCATATTTCAGTGTCCCTGAACTTCTTTCTTTGAGAACTGCTTTAATTCTACATCTTCAGCATAATACCAATATTGATATACGAACAGAATTTTCTGGATGCTTGTCACAAGAGTGGAAAATTTTCTTGGAAGAGAGTTGCCCATATTTTGTGATAGTTGCAGATGTAGGTCTGAACCAACTACAAACACACCTTTTCAACTTTTTAATCATTCATTCTTGGTCAATGAAGATCAATGCTGTGCTTTCCTATGGACAAGAATCTGATATTCTTCGTCTTTATGCATACCTTATGCCAAGCCTGCATAGAAACCAGATATTTTACAAGGAGGTAATTTGCATCTGAGGGACAAAATCTTTCCAGAGTTTTGTAAAATTTTCTGAATTGCTTGAGTCAGCTTTATTTCTACATCTTCTTCCTTTTTAATAAAGATTAATTTAATTTTTATTTATGCATTCAAGAACTGGGGTGTAGGCCAGCGGTGCCAGGGGTGAGAGGATTCACCAGAGACAGACTGGGGAACAAAACAGGCGGATCTATTGAAATACACTGCTGAGGGGAGCAGTGGGCAAGCAGGAGAGGTCTGCTGCGCCATGTGGGTTAGCTCCCTGGCCAGGATTGAACTCATGCCACAGTGGCTGAGACTAACCCCTGCGCCATCAGGGAGGCCCTATTTGTACCTCTTCTATGGAAATTATCATAGGTTTCACAGATAGGTATAGAAATTTAATAGTAGTAATAACAAATAATACACATGCCATAATTTATTGAGCACCTCTTGTCATAACAATGGTTTTGGTCTTCCCATGAGTCATTTCATTGAAACTTTACAACAATCCTGGAAGGCAGGTCATAGCAGATCTGCTTTATAAATGAGGAAATAGATATTTAAATGAGTAATCTGCCCACTGTTAATGCCAAATGAATAATAGAGCATGTATTTGAAGAGACCCTCCGATTATAGCCCTGATGTGCTTCACTGCTCTGGTTACTCCCTTCAAGGTAAGGAATGCCAGAAATACATGAAATCGGAGGCAAAAGTTATGCTCTGTAGCTGAGATGTAATAATAAAACAGGTAATATGTTGGTTTCTAATGATAAAACAAGAAAGTTGATGAGTAGGGAAAGAAATAAAATAACGTTATTTCTTAATATCAAATCATTAATAGAAACTTCAAAGTATTTAGAATTTTAATGCCATGATATTTTGCTGCATCGATATATTTGACAATTATAACTAAAGTTTTTGGAAGTCAAAAGTATATTCCAATTTTATAAATGTCTAGTTTCTGTTTAAGTTTCACTACTTTTGGTGAATTCTATATTCTAAATTAGAAAATGATTTTTTCAGTCTTTATTTCTTACTCCTTGGAAATAATATCTTATGCTTCATGGTATTTGGAAACATGTACATGATTGTCATGGAATCTGAGATTAGTTTATATTACTTTAGTTAGTACTCCAGTCAGTTGCCGAGGTTGTTCGCTGGCTATGAGCAGGAACAGCCTCCACATTCATTTTCATGTTGGGAGGAGGTTCTGTAATCAATTGATTTCATGTTATTCTGTTGACACCATTTCAGTTTTTGGGTTTGAAGAGTAGCCTGCAAATATCCTTCTAAATCTCTCCTTAAGAAGATTTTTTTTAGTGGAGAATTTCCTTTTTTGGTAAAATTATAAATTTTCTATTTTTTTAATTTCCTAATTTGTTGAACTTGCTTTTTAAAATATTTTTTATTTTTATTTTTTAATATATATTAATTTTAAAAATTTTTTTACGTCATTTTTCTTTTTTTTTTATAGAGGCATGTTTTTATTATTTATTTATTTGTTTGTTTTGTTTTTGTTTATAAATGCACTGGGTACAGTCAGAAGTGCGGGAGGGTGAGAGAATTCACCAGAGCCAGAGCGGGGAGCAGAGCAGGCAGGAGGACCGAAGTACACTGCTGAGGGGAGCAGCGGGCAGCATGAGAGATCTGTGCGCCATGTGTGGGACCCTCACCGGGCGTCAGGGGATCGAACCGGCGCTGCAGAGGCTGCGAGCAGCTTCGCAACCCAGCGCTCAACCGCTGCGCCACCGGGGAGGCCCTCTTTGTATAATCTTTGTGTTCAGTCCCTTATCAGTTGACTGGGGTGCAAAGATTTTTTTCCCAATCAGGTGGGGTGTCTCTGTTTTGGTTAATGTCTCTTTTGCTGTGCAGATGCTTTTCAGTTGATAAAATCCCAGGTGTTTATCTTTTCCTTGACTATCTTTGCCTTAGGTGATGAGTCTTTAAAGATATTATTGCGATGTCTTGTAGTATTTTACCTATATTTTCTTCTATGTATTTTATGGTTTCAGGTCTTATGTCCAGTTCTTTTATCCATTTTGAGTTGATTTTTGTGTAAGGCGAAAGGTAGTGGTCTAGTTTCATTTTTTTGCATGTGGTGGTCCAGTTTTCCCAGCACCATTTATTGAACAAAATGTCCATATTGTTGAACACGCATTTTAAAGAACTTATTTTACTTACCAATTTGAGGACTGCAGACATACAAATGAAAATACGATGTAGGTTGGTAATGGTTTCAGTTGGATGACAAGTATCCTGGTGGGAGGTTGTGTTGCTCTATTTTTTGGTGCATATTTGAAAATTTTTATAATAAAATGTAATGCACTAAATAGGTAAGATGTTTCATTTGGAGGTATGCGAAATGTATTAAAATTAGATTCTGATGATGTTGCACTGTTCTGTTAATTTGTCAAAAACCATTGGATTATACCATTGGATTGAGTGTTAGTTATACCTTCATAAAGGTGTTAAAAAGCAAAATTCTCTAAATTCCCAGTCAAAATTTAATTTGTCAAAGACAAATGAATGCTGTTTACTAGACTTTTAAAACATTGCTGATGTTCTCTAATTTAGATATTAGTGTCATTTTTTAAACTTAAAAATATATTGTAACAAGTATATCTTCAATATATTTTCTCTAGATGAAGTAATTAGATATTTCATTCATGAAAATTTATGTGACTTTCATTCCTTTTACAGAAGAAAATGGTGATTGAAAATGCTTATCATGCCCTGATTAAACAAATGAAGCACCGTAGAGTTTCAGCATTAGAATGCCTTTCTGGAAGTTTGAAATGGGAAAATATGATGGAAAAGGTACTAAAACTTAAAAAAAAAAAACCAGCTTTTTATTAGGATGACTTATTTAACTACTTACTTATGAAGTTGCAGAAATAGGATACAGTTCCCATATACTTCTCACCTAGGTCCCCTTAATGTTAATATGTGTAACCTTGTACATTTACCAAAACCATGACTTTAGCACCAATATTTATTAAACTTATTCATATTTCATTTACTTTTCCCACTAATTTTTTTTTTTCTGCTCCAGGAATTCTATCCAGGGGATCACATCCATTTAGTTGTAATTTCTCTCAAGTCTCCTCCAATCTGTAATCTTTTTTTTTTTTTTTTTTTTTTTTTTTGGTTTTCCTTGCCTTCCATGACCTTGATATTTCAGAAGAATATTGACCAAATATTTTTTGAATACCCCACCAGTAGGGCTGTCTGATGACTTCCTATGATTGCAATGAGGTTACGTATTCTTGGCAAGAAAACTTCTGCATTGATGTTGTGTTCTCAGTGCATTGTATCAAAGATTCATAATATTGATGTGTTTACCACTGGTGAAGTTGGTGCCTGCCTGCATTTTCTACTGTGAAGTTACTGTCTTTGAAGATAGTATATATATATATATATATATATATATATATATATATATACTGTCTTTGAAGCTAATATATACATATATATATATATATATATATATATATATTAGTGCAACCCCTGTTTCTTCTCAAAATTTTGCTGATTAATTTTAGAATTCATCACTGAATCTTATCTGAACGGTTATGGAAGATGCTTTTGTCTAATGACTATTTTCTGTTTCATTCTTTGCCATTGACTTGCTTATTTACTTATATCAGTATGGGCTAGTGGCTACTTATTTTATATTATAGTTAAAGTGCTATATTATAACTGTTTTGGTCTTCAGACTGCTTCTGGTATAAACATTAGAAACTCCTTCAGGTTTGCATCTGCATCTTTTCACAAGCCTCCATCTTCTTCTTTCAAAATGAACCATGTCTTAGAAGTGGCAATGGGTTCATGGATGTATATTCATCTCCCATCTCATTAAGCTCCATTATTTGATCACTCTCTACTGCTTGAAACCACAAGATGTTCCAATCTTATCTTCTGTTTCCCTGGTCAGCTCTGAATTCAAGATTTCCTCTTCTCTGAAGAGTTCTGATTACTTTCATTGGAAAAGGGCATTTAGAAGCCAAGATCTGGGAACTAACCTTTCTCAAGTGGCTTTTATTGCCTTTTTGAGATTAGCAACTTCCAGGCATCTTGTAATTTACTCTTCATTTGCCTTGTCTAAGATTTTGCTGAATTAATTACTTTGTCATGTTCTTACTCTTTCTATTTCTGGCTTATGAGTCCTTGCATAAAGATCATTTTTCATATTATCAAGTGTTTGATTTAGTCTAATCATATTTAAAGTATAAACTCAGAGTATCTTCTGCTTCATAGCTATTGTCACAGTTGTTATTGATATTTTTGATGGTGACAATGAGATTTTCCTCAGTCAATCTGTGCAGTTTTTTTTCCTGCTATCATTTTTTTTTTTTCATTTTTTTTTTTTTTAATAGAGGCATGTTTTATTTATTTATTTATTTGTTTGTTTTGTTTATACCTGCACTGGGTACAGTCAGAAGCGTGGGAGGGTGAGAGAATTCACCAGAGCCAGAGCAGGGAGCAGAGCAGGCAGAAGGACCAAAGTACACTGCTGAGGGGAGCAGCGGGCGGCAGGAGAGGTCTGCGCGCCATGTGGGACCCTCCTCCTGTGGCCGGGGAGCAGCCGGGGATCGAACCGGCGCAGCAGAGGCTGCAGGCAGCTTCTCAACCCAGCACTCAACCGCTGCGCCACCGGGGAGGCCCCCTGCTATCATTTTTTATAGTAGCTCATGATACTTCCCTTTCTTTTTCTTCATTTTTATGATAGGTATATTACAGGATCCCTAACTTAATCACTTAATCAAATTTAGGTTAATTTAATGGTGTCCTTTTCTGACAGTCTAGCAAAGTCCAGCATGTTAGTGGAAATTTTGTTTATTTATTTTGGTGGTGGGCCTAGTGAGGCCTAGTATTTTCTTATTCCCTTCTATGACAGGCCTGTGAAACTATGTCTCTGCTTGATCAACTCTGGCCTGAAGGATCTGATATTCGGCGTGTTCTTTGCGCTACTGCTTGCTCCTTGTCTTTGGAAATGTACCAGCAGTCTTTAGAAAACAAAAAGGAGACTGACTCTGATCAGAAAATTGACATCACACAGGTGAGATTGTTAGCGCTTTACTATGGAACCCCTTTGCTCTCCATTTATGAAATCTTACTGGTTTTCTTCTTCTATTTCTTCCATTTGTTATTTGATGTATTCCCCTAATTTATTTACATGAATTTCCAAAAATGGGGGAAAAACTAGCTTTTATTTTTGTTAAGAAACATCTACTTGCTGTTACATGATTTCATGTTTTACTGTTCAGATGTTTCCCTTAATACATATGTAGTCTAATTTATTCAATCTACAAAAGAAGGAGAAATAAGAAAGGAAATTAGCACCTGGGAGAACCTACAATGTGACAATTTTCTGGGCTTCTTATATGCCTTGTGCCATTCATTCCTCACAATAGCATTTCGAAGGGGGTGTTGGTATTTTTATTTCACATTTGGGAGCACTGAGTTTCAGACAATCTTAACAATTCTTAAACCTAAGTTACTAAATAGCAGTATGGATAGAACCCAAGTCTGTCTTGCTAAAGTTCTACAAGACCAAACTGTTTGAAAGAACATTCCTGCTATAATGCCTTGATGCCATCCTAGCTGGAGAAATGCTAAAGTTCTTAGCCTTCTTTATGGCTAACAGGGTCCATTAACTATCTGTTGTCCAGTGTGGGTTTGCTACCCAGCTGGTCATCCTTCTATAGATGTGCACACATACATGCACACATGTACATATACTTTGTATTTTATACAATCTGAATGCTGAGAGATGCTTAGTGGACAGGGTTCATCATCTTTTACCTAGCATTTTCTCTATTTGGCCTTTCAATATCTACTTTTTTTGTGTAGAAATATTTGTAGTGAAATAAACATACTTAGTGTGCCAAATTAAATCATTATCATAAAAATGATATTTAACCACATGTGCCCTCTGGAACTTCTAGTCACTAGGCCCTATTTGCTCCCTGGAGGTCCTCTAGCAGATGTTAATCTTGTTCCACTGACTGCACTGCAAATATTTGAAGGTAGCTATGAGGTCCTTGTCTTGTCACGAGAAATGTGCCCACTTTTCCCTCTTTTTCACGTTGAGTAATTTTCTCAGGTATATTTCCTTCCTGATTCTCTCACCTTTGTCATTTTCAATATTACTTTTAAAATACAAAGTCTTGGACAGATAGAGCGTTTGCTATGCAATTCTACCAGCGTCAAGCCGGCGACCATGGGTTTATGAACTGCCTGGTTAGATCAAGGACGTTTGACTTAACTAAAAATATTGGAAAATGCTTTATGTAAACTGCTGTGGAGTTACCAGTTCCCATCCCTCTTAGCTCTCACCTGTGTAATTGCAGTTGAGTTTATGTATGAAGAAAAAGACTCTCAAAGTATAGAGTGAAGAATGCAATAATGCCATAATCCTGCATGACAAGGATATCCTTGGTGTAGCATGTGCAAAAGTCTGCTCTACCATCTGCTGCTTTCGAAAAACTGTCTTTATTTTATGCAGGTGGAAAGTAATTGTGTGTCCCTGCAAGATATGGAAGATTTGTGTAAACTGCATTGTCTCAGTGTGGTTCTTTTAATCCACTTGCCTCTTTCTCAAAGAGCTTGTTCTAGAGTCATCACTTCCCACTGGAATAAGGACATTCGCATTTTCTTAAAAATGGTAAATATACTCTTAGTTTATTTATTTTTTTGCTTCAACTGTTTTGTAGATAAAAATGACAGTCACTGTCACAAATATATTTATTTGGGAACATCTTCCTTTGGGGGTACTTCAGAGATTTTTATGGACTTAAATCAATCCCTTTCTGGGCCTCCCTGGTGGCGCAAGGGGTTGGGTTGCAACCTATGAAACTCTCCGCAGCCACTGCAGCACGAGTTCGATCCCTGGCCAGGGAGCTACCCACATGGCACAGCAGACCTCTCCTGACTCGCCTGCTGCTCCCCTCAGCAGTGTACTTCGGTCAATCTCCCTGTTCTGTCCCCACTCTGTCTCTGGTGAATCCTCTCACCCCCCCACACTTCTGGCCTGTACCCCAGTTCTTGTATCCATAAATAAACAAACCTTTAAAAAAATCAATCCCTTTCTAATTTCAATAGCTCTGCTTGGTAGTCATAGCAATAGCATGATATCTACTCGACCTAATGAAAAAGGCTGTCAGTTTCCTTTTTACTTCTCAGTGGAGGTCAGGTTTTTGTGTCTGTTTTGTAGAGGAATTGAGATCAACCTAAAGTTTACTATTTGCGTCCACAATAGAGGCTATTTTGGGAAAATATGTAGACTTGAGGTAAATAGAAAAATGTTACCTGCTTAAATCAATATTGACTAACTATTAATATTTTGACTTCTTTATTTTAAATGCAGTTTTTTTCCTTTGCTGTTTGTTATTCTTACATTGGAACTATATGTAATATATGTATTACATTTTATATGTATATATACATTATTTTATACATTTTATATGTATATATACATTATATATACATTATATACATATATTTTTCTATTTTCTTTCATACTCTTAGTTAGCATCATTTCTAATGATTATCCGTCCCTTTTTTAGTGGATGTACCACAAGTTACTTACCCATTTCTCTACCTGGGATATTGATAGGGCTTAAACTGTTGTTTTTAGAAATTCTACTATTCTCCAGTTTCTTTGCTTGTAAGATTCTTCCTTTCATTTGGGGGTAGCTTAGACTGGATGCCCAGAAATGAGATTAGTAGATCATTTAATACAAACCTTTTATTAGGATCTCAGTTCATAGTTAAAATGTTCAAGGAAAGTATTTCAGAACCAACCCAGTATGAAGCCAGTTCAAAATACTTACCTAATATACTTGTATTGGGTGAATCACTGAGGAAAAATGAGGGCATACTTAAACATCCCACCCTACCACCTTCAAAAACAGAATAAAGAACTATGCTGAATTCAATTTTGTTCAGTTTGAGCTTATGTTTTAATCTTTAAAGTATAAAGTTTTCATCACTCTCCAGTTCAAAAGGGCTTATATTCATTAGTAAGAACTGGAGAAGTCCTACCAAATTGCCTTTCTATTGAATTACAGACATTTTTAAAAAAGACTTATTTACTTATGCATACAAGAACTGGGGTACAGGCCAGAGGTGTAGGGGGTGAGAGGATTCACCAGAGACAGAATGGGGAACAGAACAGGTGGGTTGACTGAAATACACTGCTGAGGGGAGCAGCAGGTGAGATAGAAGAGGTCTGCTGAGCCATGTGGGTCAGCTCCCTGGCCAGGGATTGAACTCGTGCTGCAATGGCTGCCCATAGCTTCATAGTGCTGCATCTTAACTCCTTGCACCACCTGCGAGGCCCCTGAATTATAGACATGTTTGAAATCATAGTTTATTGTTAATGTAAAATGACCAATAACTTAGTTTTATTTTCCTTTTTTTTAGAAAAAGTGGTGTGAATATTTCATCCTGACTAATATAAACAAATCAAAATCATGGGATCTGAATTTAACTCACCTTTCTGACTTAAGTGATGACCTTTTGTTGAAGAATATTGCTTTTTATTATGAAGATGAAAGTGTTCAAGGTACCACCTTAGTTATATTACAATAATTTTACTTTCATTCAAAGAGTGACATTATCAAGATCTAATGCTTTAAAATCATTATCCTGTACTTCCAACATATAACCTATCAATTATTTTCCTTTCAATATTTGTTTATTCATGTGTGTATCACTTTTATGTAGTTGTAATCTGAGTAAATCTTATGTTTTAAAACATTTTGAACTGACTATTGCTCCACAAGTATTTTTTGGAAAAAAAATGTGTGTTTGGGCATTTGACATTTCTAGAATTTCTAGGTAATTTTAATAGTTGAGTTTTTCATTTAAGTATATGCTTAATTTTTCATATTTGCTGTAATTAGTGGAACACTTCTACTACTAGATATTAGGGAATTTTAACATTTTTAAATATAAACCTTATTAATATATCTATATTATATAATCCATTTTTCTGTTTTGAATTATTTTCTCACTGTTTCTTAATAACCAGTGATAATAAAAGACATTTTAGGAGAACCATACTATGACTGAACATTATTGAAGCTTTTTTGACCTCTAAGATTTGGTTTCTTTATATTGAAAAAATTGTAATTAATTTGCTACATATAAATTTAGCAATCCCCTACAAATTTTTTCGTCTCTAAAAATTACAGTTTTTATTCAGTTTTATCCATTGTAAGTTATGTTTGGTATGATATTTTTATTATCTTAAAGAGTGTTCTGATATCCACCATTTGTCATTGTTAGGTAGGGTGGTTATAATCTTACTATATATTGTCAGATAGGGAAACAAGATAAATTTTAAACTCTAGAACATCATGTTCGACACTTAGGACTGTTTTCATTTAGGTGACGTGGAACTCACTGAAAAGGTCATTAACATTTAATATTTAAACGTGTCTTGTCTGTGAACAAGACATTTAATATTTTTCACTATCATCTAGGCCTGAATTTGAATTTGGGTCGTGCCATTATGAATGACTATGAACATCTCTGGAGCACTGTATCAAAATTGGTCACTAAGTTTGATGTTGGAAAGCCATTTCCTCTAAGAACAACACAACTTCCTTTCCTTAAAAAGAAACCATCACCAGTCAAAGGTAATAAATTCCAAATTAATTTGGAGTAAAAGCTTTGTTCATCTGAAAAATGAAATTGAAAGTTCTTCTAGCTAAATGCAAGTAAAACTAACTTGCTGACACTAAGCATTTTAATAATAAATTATCACTTCTGTCATATTATGGGGTGATGTGTTATAATTTGAAGAGTTATATGTTTTGCTTGGAATTAGCATCATTGTCAATTAAAAAAAAAGCCGAGATGTGTGTGCGTGTGAGTGCGTGTGAGTGTGTGTCTATAGATCAACTGAGAGCTCTTGTCGAAAAAAATTGAAATGTTGGACAAGAGACATCAAACATCTTTTCACATAGTTATAGCTAAACTCAAAACAATAGAATAGAAATTTTCAGGGACCAAAAATGAAGGGGAGACTTATTTCTGGGTAATGCAAAGTAAAATTGTTCTTAGAATTTCTAATTATAGGACTGCCTCCCAAGAATCTGAGGTTTCAATTCACTGTACTTGTAGAGTCAAAACAATTGTAAACCAGAAAATTAATGTTAAGTGATCAAAGCTTTCTGGCAAATTCTGTGTAGTGGAACACATTGTAAACCCTGATTTTATAGGATTCTTTGCCAAATATGAGTGCAAATACAAATTCATGAAATAACAGAAGAAATAAACAAGTAAGAGAAGCAGTAAGCTAAAGTACTAGAACTAGATGTATTATTTTGTAATTTTCAAAAGTAAATATGTGTCTTTATGCTTAAAGAGATCAAATACCAAGTTTGAAACATGAGAAAATAACAAAATATTGTAAAAAATACCATTCACATTTTAAAATAGCTAAACTTCTAGAAATAAAAATATTGTAATGAATGAAAAAGTTGATGATGTTGCTCAAGAAAATTTGTCAAATAGAAATAGATCAAAAGAATCAATCATGTGTTGAAATAGAGATGTACACCTTACACTTACAAATATGATATGTTGATATATTTCAACAAAGCTGAGAAAATTTAATGAAATAAGCAAAAGATTTTGAGATAAAAATAGAAAAGTAATGTTAAAAGTAATGCGCAGGATAGAATGAAGAAGTCCACACTTCATTCATTTAGACTTTTAGAAACAGAATGAACACAATGGGTTGGACAATATTTGAAGAGATCATGACTGGGTACTTGCAGGAATTGATAAAAGACCAGAATTTCACATTCAGCTTGTATTATGGAGTAATAAGTGCCATAAATTAAACACACACACATAAAAACACAATGCAGTAAAATTGTAGAATATCAAAAATAATTATCTTAAAAGAAATAGCTGCCTAAAAGGGAAGAAAAATTAGTCTAATAGGCTTTCTTGATAATGATGATAGAAGCCAGAATATAGTGATTTTATATATGAATCTTAAAATATGATTTAAGAGTGAAGGGGTAATATGAATGTTTTCATAAATACAAAAACTGATTTATTCATCATAGCATCACTGAAGATATTTGTATATAATGAATAGGACATAATAATAAAAGTGTATATTCAGAATATGGGAAAGAACTATCTGTTCTATCCTCCTGTCAGGATAAACTTTGCCTGACAAATGCTCTTGAGTCAGTAGGTTATTGATCCCAGGAAGGTAAAATAAGGGAGTGGTTAGGTGAGATAAGAACTACAGGAGTGAAGGACACATTAATGGGTATTTTTCCATTATAGGCAATTATTGGCATATTTTAATGGGAATCTCTGTGGGAGGGTTATCTCTGCGGTATTAATCTTTAGCACTTTTGGTCTGCCCAGAATGGTCTCTAGAAAGATAAGTGCTCAGGCAGGTAGTTGCAGGGACTTGTAGTGGGAAGGTATCTGGCAAACACAGGAACAGCAAACACCAAGGCGATGATGAGTACAGCAGTGGCAGCTTACCTAGAATATGATCTGGAATCTAAATAAAAAGGCTTTGATTAGCTAGCATATGATATATGCTATGTATGTGATATATATTATGGTATCTATCAATCATATATACACATGTATAAAGATCTCAAGGGAATGCTGTAATGATATAAAATAATTAAACTGCCATCTGCATTTCCCTGCTACTTTTTTATTCTGGTGTAATGAAAAAAATATATGTAGGAAATCTCTGAGGTTTCCCATTTAAATTGTTTGTCTCATAAAAGGAGTAAACATTCAAAAAAAGAAAACAGTATTCTTTCTCTCTCTCTACCTAAATGCCATCTATTTGTTTATACTCTTTAATGTGGGAAATAGTTTTATGGAAAGGACTGTAATTGAATGTAAATAAAATCAATGAAAACTATTTTTAATATGAAATTTCAAAAAATAATGTGTAATATTCCTGTATGAAATTTTCATGTTTGATCTTAATTTTTGGCTTGTTTACAGATACCTCCATGGAAAAGATTCCTAATTTAGGCTTCATTCCAATGTCCTGTGAGGTGGTTGATGAATTTGTTGGAGACATTTTGAAAGACTTGCCTTTCCTAAAGAGGTATATCCTAGAGTGCCTCAATCAATAATTTGCATGGAATAGATGAATTACTCATTAAAAATTCTTTGAAATGCAAGAGACCAAATAAAGCTTATTAGATGTAAATGTATGTTTATAACACATAATGAATTTAATAACAAATTTATTAAGGTTCTTTGATCATTACTAAGTGAAAATTAACTTGAGTTTGATTTTAAAGTAAAATTACTCCAGCTGCATAATTGAAATGAAAGGATGAATTATATTTGTTGGTGTTGGTGTTACGTTATAGACGTGGAGTGGGTTCTTAGTTCTTAAGCCTCTAATAAATTGCTCTTTGGTTGCTACTACCCATACAAAGAGAAAAGGAGGCTATGATTTTTAAAATTATTGTAAAAATCATTAATGTTTCTATTATAAAATTAATTTGTGCTATATCTGGTTGGAGACATACAATCTAAAATGTGCATATTTCTTTTTGTATCATAGTGATGATCCTATTGTAACATCACTGGTTAAACAAAAGGAATTTGATGAACTTGTACACTGGCATTCTCACAGACCCCTTAGTGACCATTATGAGAGGACCAAGTGTAATTTTGAAGGTGAGCTCTGTGATTGGTGAAATAAATTAAAATCAATTTCACTCTGCTTTTCTAGTAACAAATTATATTATGAGCCACAAATTGTATTTATTGAATAAGAACAGTCTGTAAAATACCTACATGCCAGCAAAGATGGTGATGTAAGTTTTACTTTGTTTATTGACTATCAGCTGTATGTAGGTATAAGTGGAAAAAAATTAATTAATTCACAAAGGAAGATATACAGCCAGTGAGCATGTAATGATGGACTCAACATAATTACAGATCAGTAATGCAAATTAAAGGGATTTCCGCTCACCCATTCAAATAGCTAACACCAAATAAAAGTTAGACATGTCATTTATATAAAATTCTGCAAGAGGCACGACGTCAATGGTGTAAGAATACAATAGCGGTCACCTTTGACCAGACTGAGAAAGGACACAGTTCTTAGAGAGTGAGGAAGTTGTTTGCTATCTTAGTACAAATAGGGGTTAATTTATTCACCTAATAGTTATGCATTTCATTGTGGAACATTTACCACCATCAAAAAAACAAAACAAAAAAAAAAGAAAGAAACACCCAAACCAACTCTTTTTTTTTAATTTTATTTTTATATTCCCCATACAATTGCAACCCCCTTATTTTGACCCCAATACTTCCTATCCACCTCCCCACACCCCATAGCATGCTCTGGTTCATAGTTGTTTGTTGATTTAGATTTTTTCTTTCTTATAGTTATTCTTTTTCCTGGTCCCTTATTTAGGTTTTCTAGATTCCTGCTATGAGTGAGACCATCCGGTATTTTTCTTTTTCTTTCTGGCTTATTTCGCTGAGCATGATCCCTTCCAGTGCCATCCATGTTGCTGCAAATTGCATGTGTTTATCTTTTTTGAATGCTGAGTAATATTCCATGGTGTATATGTACCACATCTTCTTGATCCAGTCATCTATTTTTGGGCATTTAGGTTGTTTCAAAGCTTAGCTATTGTAAATAGTGCTGTGCAGGTGCTCTTGGGAATGCAGGTGCTCTTGGGAATTATTGTTTCTGTGTCCTTTGGGTAAATACCTAGTTGTGGAATTGCTGGATCATATGGAAGCTCTATCTTTCGTAGGTTGAGGAATCTCCACACAGCTCTCCATAGTGATTGGACCAGTTTGCACTCCCACTAGCAGTGCAAGAGAGTTCCTTTTTCTTCACACCCTCGCCAACATTTGTTGCTGCTAGTTTTTTAATATGTGCCATTCTCACTGGTGTAAGATGGTATCTCATGGTAGTTTTGATTTGCATTTCCCAGATTGCAAGTAATGTTGAACATTTTTTCCTATGCCGGTTGGCCATTTGTATTTCCTCTTTGGAGAAGTTTCCTTTTAGCTCTTCTGCACATTTTTTGACTGGATCATTTTCTTTGTTTTTGTTGAGTCTCATCAGCTCTTTGTAGATATTTGTGATCAGTACTTTATCATTAGTGTTGTGTGCAAAAATTTTCTCCCAGTCGGTGGGGTTTCCCTTTGCCAAACCAACTGTTGAACTTAGTAGATTTAGTTTTTTTGTAGTGGTTTGAATTGGCAGTTCCAAAATAATTTTCTGTTACTCTAATTTTGAGCAAACAGGTGAATGTATTGTCCTGTAATCTACAAGTTAGAGAACTATTGGACAAGATAGTTTATAATTATATTTAAATAAATAAACTATTGCCAAGAAGCAACCAACTTACTTAGTACTATAATTTCTTAGGTGTGATTGCTGGGTTTCCTAGGCCGTTGGATTTTACCCCAGTAAAGGTTTTCTCATCCACCCGCTCTTGGCTCTGTAGTTATCCCCAGAGTAAGCGTTTTTCTATCTGGTGATGCAAAAAGTTGGAATATTTTGATAGTAATATTTTTTCACTCTTTCTACTTTCCTCTTCTTAACCCCATTTATAGGGCACATGATAGTGGTAATGCTCCAAATGTGTCATTATTTGTATCCTCCTGGTATTTGTTTTTGGAGGTAGATAATGAGGGATTATGTTGTCACTTCCAGTAAAGTAAGAAATTATTCTTGCCTTTGTCTGACTTAAGAGTCCTTCTTAACAGACTAAATTACTGTTCCAAAATCAAAAGAAAAGCACATGCATGGCTGGGATCGTGTGAAGAATTAGTGAGAATACTATTGAAAAAATACAGAAGTGTTACATATTATCTTATCTTTTTTTCAGAAAAATCTGGAAATTCTTATGCTATGAAATCCTACCAAAAATACCATGCTTATCAACGATTTTATGGAAGTTCATTAGAATCAGTTACTTCAAAATTATTGTAACCCAGGCTGTCAAGACAAAGAATTTCAGTGAACAGAAGAGTAAAAAGACAAATGTAGGTTCTGCAAATTCTGTCTTGGGTTTTTTCTCATCTTTTTTTTTTTTTTTAAACTATTTATTTATTTATTTAGAAAAAGATTTATTTATTTATTTGTACAAGAACCGGGGTACAGGCCAGATGTGCAGGAGGGTGAGAGGATTCACCAGACAGAGCAGGGAACAGAACAGGCAGACTGACGAAATACACTGCTGAGGGAAGTAGCGGGCAAGACAGGAGAGATCTGCCGCGCCATGTGGGACCCTTGCTAGCCGCCGGGATCGAGGCTGTGGACAGCTTCACAGCGCTGCAGAGGCTGTGGACAGCTTCACAGCGCTGGGCTCAACCTCCTGAGCCACCAGGGGAGGCCCTCTCTTATCATTTTTAAGTTGATGTTTCTTCAATCTCTTCAGTAGTTTCTTTCCACTCCATACTTTTAATTTTTATATATGATCATTTTTTATTTTACTTCCTTGCTTAAGGTCAAACCTCCATGTAATAGGTTGTATATGATCCTTTATACATTTTAAAATGTATATTTATTTGAAAAAGAGTGTAAGGCATTTAGTGACTAAAGCTCTGGACTGAAAGGTTGAAGTAACATTAATATTATAGTTGTTTTCACTTAATGCTAATGAAAGAATTTTTATATCGAGATGAGAAAAATAGATGTGAAATACCTGTTTATTTTTTACCAGGATAATGAAGATTTTTCTGTTTTTTCAGAGTATTTAAGCAATTGATCCATTTGCCAATGGTGGAAGTCTAGAAGCATCCATTTTTCTCTTCCTGTGTAGTTGGAGTTTTGCAACCTAGCCTTCTTCTTTCTTGGGATGTCATTTTCCTGCCCTCATGCATCCATTTCTATCCCTTTCCTCATTCACTCATCAAACTTTAAGAACTAAATGTTTTGTGTTTGGAACACACGGACAATTAGGGCACATACGCCTTAAGAAATTAATCTTTTTTTTTTTCATGTTTTATTTATTTATTTATTTGTTTGTTTGTTTAGTTTATACAAGCACTGGGTACAGTCAGAAGCGTGGGAGGGTGAGAGAATTCACCAGAGCCAGAGCGGGGAGCAGAGCAGGCAGAAGGACCGAAGTACACTGCTGAGGGGAGCAGCGGGCGGCAGGAGAGGTCTGCGCGCCATGTGGGACCCTCCTCCGGTGGCCGGGGAGCAGCCGGGGATCGATCCAGCGCCGCAGAGGCCAAGAGGAGCTTCGCAACCCAGCGCTCAACCGCTGCGCCACCGGGGAGGCCCGAGGCTATTATTTATTATGTTGATTTGTCATAAGTTTTCAATGAACAGAGACTTTAATTTTAAGACACAGACAAGGAAACTAAAATTGTGCCTACCAGAGAATGGGATGAAAAGAATGGTCAAAGTTATCAACATACACTTAAAAATATTGTCTCATTCATGACATGTTATCTTGGAATTATCCGGCTTGTTTCATGATCTCTTTCTTACCATTTTGGGCAGGAGACCAAGGCTGATATAATTATTAGAGAGAATAAGAAGAAGTTACTTGCCAAGGAAGAACAAAAAGAACAGCAAAAATGGAAAGTTCTGTCACTTTCTATTGATGAGGAGTTGAAAGAGGATTTAAATTCTGGAACAAAGAATCTGGAAGATTTTTTGAAGTCATGTAAAAGTACCTCAGTGAAATTTAAAGTAGAAATGGTAGGATTAACTGCCTGCTTGAAAGCATGGAAGGAACATTGTCAAGGCGAAGGTATATAATTTTGTGTTTCGATGAATTAAGAATCAATAAGCAAAATAATAATAGATGACATCATAAATTTGTGCTAGCATCTTATATGCATTATTTTTATGCATGTAAAATTATTTTATTTTTATGAATTTATTCATAAAATTTTACTTTTTATGAAACTCCTCTAAGTATTGCCTCTTTTATCAATAAACAATTCATAAGCAAATTCATATTTAATCATAATCAAAGATAGGTTTAAATATAAATGTGTAGGTAGTTGTAGGTATGGTGAAGGGAACCAAGGAATATGGTCAGGCACCAGGAAAAATCCATCATTTACCTTTGATATCCAAAGGGTGAAAGTAGGCTCATGTTTGTCTAGCCTTCTGGATTCCTCCAGAAGCTATGGTGGCTTCCTTGAGCTATGCTTTACAATTTCCACAGTAGAGAGGGAAAAGAGAAAAAGAAATGCTAGAAAGAGGAAGATAAAGAAGACTAGATAGAGATGTGTAAATTGATAGCAGATGAAATAATCAGTTGCCATGACGCCTCCAAGCTGATAATTGATTTAAATTTTTTTTAAATTGAGATAACATTTGTTTAAAACACTATATTTTGGGGAGTAGCTTTACAACTCCTCAGATTTTTGTCACTACGCCACACCCACCATCAAAGCACCCACTGGCCTTTACCATAGACCACTGGCTCCTTTCTCCATTTTGTTCTCACTCCCTGCTCCTCCTGTGGTCTCAATTCTGCAATCGTATTTCCAGGGTTTGTTTTGGTTTAGTGTTGTCAGTTTCTTTATTTAGTTTCTCTATATTCCACATATGAGTAAAACCATCTGGTATTTGTCTTTCCCTTTCTGACTTATTTCACTTAATATAATCCTTTCTGTCCCATCCATGTTTTTACAAAGGGTAAGAATTCATTTCATTTGCCGCCCCTCCCCACCCCACTTTTACATTACTGAGTAGTAATATATATATATAGTAATATATATAATATATATATATAGTAATATATATATATTACCTAGTATACACACACACACACACACACACACAATATCTTTTTAATCCTGTCATCTGTCATTGGAGTTGATGACGTGAGTATAGTTGCACTTTAGTTTTATTTTACTTAGTCTTCTGTATTCCAAAACTTCCATTAATGTTAAGTAAAACTGGGCCTCCCTGGTGGCGCAAGGGGTTAAGACACAACTTATGAAGCTGTCCGCAGCCACTGCAACTTGAGTTCAATCCCTGGCCAGGGAGCAACCCACAAGGCGCAACAGACCTCTCCTTACTCTCCCGCTTGCTCCCCTCAGCAGTGTATTTCAGTTGATCTGCCTGTTCTGTTCCCCACTCTGTCTCTGGTGAATCCTCTCACCTCCCACACCCCTGGCCTGTACCCCAGCTCTTGTATGCATAAATAAATCTTTAAAAAAAAGTTAAGTAAAACTGTAATTTTTTACTAGGTCAGATTGGTATACTACCTCACTAATTTTGGATAATCAAACTTTTATTTTTGATTTTTTTTTAATATTTAAAGGGCAGGTTTATTAGGAAAAGGGACAGAAAAGTAAAATATACTTGCATAGGCAGAAGTGGACAGGAAGAGCTGCCAAGAGGCCTGCATGGTTGCAGGTGGCGGCCTTGAGGAGAGCAACCTCCTCTGAGGGAGGTCAGTGAAGGGAAGTCCCGGCAGGTTCAGGGCACTGGCAGGCAGGAAGGCTGCTGCCCTGCAAAGGAGAGTTGGCGAAAAGAAGCAGCTGCATAGTCACAGGTGGGCAGAGGGATTGCTGCGTATGTTTGATGATTTTTATAACAATTTCACTCTTTATTTTTGCCAAGGTAAAACAAGAAAAGATTTAAATATAGCTGTTCAAATGATGAAAAGGATCCATTCTTTGATGAAAAAATACCCAGAATTTCTGGAAGAGTCAGATCAGCAATTTATAGCTAAATGTCTTATGTATTTAGGATTTGAAGAGTTGGCAAGTTCTTTATCTCCAACTCAGGTAATGTTTTCAGGATAGTTCCACTTTTGTAATTATTAGGTGTCATATATATAAAAAGTCTTTAAATATAGTTACAGATTTTTTTACAAGAAATATTTATTCTGAGTTCATAATCACTTTCTGTCATCCAGTTACCCAAAGTTGAAGTAATTCAGAATTAGAAGATTATACAAATATTTGTATGAACAAACATTAAATACCAAGAAATCTGTGCAGACCATTAAGCAAATCCTGTAGTTAATTCTAAGAAAGCATTAAAAACTATATTGTGATTGTTCAGTTATCTCAAAACATATCAGGTTGTAGCTACAAATGCCATACTGATTTTTGAAAATCTTGTCTGCTAATTTACTCACAACTCAGATGATGATTTAGATGGTAGAGCACTCATTTAATAAGTATTTCAAAACTTAAAGCATGGTAAAATGCTTTTTTCATAAAAGGTACTCAGTAACAAAATATTTGAATTATTTAAATGATGTTGTAATTTAGAATTCTTCCCAAATGGACTTTCAAATAATGTAGGTTGCAGGTGATGACATACAGAAGAAAAGGAATAAGTATTCCCTTCACATCGGACCAGCTCGGTTTCAGTTACAACACATGGGTCGTCATTTGATACGAGAAGAGAGAAAAGATCCAGACCACAGAGTTCAGGACTTTATTCCTGACACATGGCAGGTAATGCTGTAAATGAAATAGTCATTTATTTTCTTTTATTATTAAATGTGCTCTCAGGAGCTTCTCATTATTGTAGCTGTATGTATTATATTTGGCATAATCTTATTGAGTCATGTGATTTAAAATTATTTTATCATTAAAAATGTCAAAATGTAGACTTTTCTCCTATTTAAAGAAAACTTTCATTTCACTGCTCATATATAGTCCATATCCTTCAAAGTACTTTGATGGCTTCACATCTATACATTTTTGAGGTTCTGTCTGTATCATCTAGCTGTATCATCACGGATACAGTTTTCCCTGTGTCAATAGGTTTTCATTATTTAAATATATAAATGTGCAGAGAGATATTTTTCCCTGGGTAGTTTAAAATAGTATAAACATTTTTTTCAGATATTTGTATGTGGCATCTATAGTATATTAGCACCTACTAGAAAAATAGTAGCTACTTTTCTATAATAAATGTAAAGGTTAACATAGACGGATGTAAGATTTGGAATAAAATGGACTAACTGTATAACATTATTGAACAATTCAACGTTTACCTACAAAAGTGCAGTCTCATAGTTTCAAATCTGAATAAACTGTCCTATTAAAATCTATTTTTACCTTTCTTATGTTGATGATGATGGGGTCCCTTAAAAATTCCTGTCGCCTTTTTAGGATTAGGAGAACCAGTTCTTTAGTTCAGGACAGGACACCAGGAAGCCGAGTGCTCTTCATTAATACCATTGCATGCAATTCTCCTGATGCCAAGTTCACTCTGGGGTGTGGCCCAGAGTGGACCTAGATTGAAGAGAATATGTAGATTGGGGTTTTGGGGTGTTTTTTCCCATCTTCTGCTCACTATACAGGCTTGATTCTTTGATCAGTTTTCATTTTAATAAGTACAAGCACACACTGATGGGATAAAGCAGCACATGCCCTCCAAATAGGTACCTGGATTTTTTCCATATAGAAAGTGGTAGATAAATGATAAAATTATGAATCATTGATTTTTTTTCCTCTTTAGCTATCTTTTTTACCATCACAAAAATACATACTGACTTTCACTTAGAACTAAATTTCTTAAAGCTAATTCCGCACTTAGTAAGTGGCAAATAGAGAAACAATAACAAGAACAAAAGCAAAACAAACATGAAGAACAATATTCAGATCACTCTCCATTTTTCGCATACAAAACTCACCTCCAGATGTTCAAAAGCATGAAAATTCTGTCTTCTGAGAGATGATACGAATTCTTTGTTTTATTCTATACAGCTTTTGTGTGTTTGCAGCTCTGATCATTCCATTTGAAGTTCTGAGAATTGTACTGAAAGTATATTAAAGTATTTGTTTGGTAACAAGTAATTTACATGACTGACTTAGCGGTGCTCTCAATCCCACAGCGAGAGCTTCTTGATGTTGTGGATAATAATGAGTCAGCGGTGATTGTTGCCCCCACATCCTCAGGAAAAACCTATGCTTCCTACTACTGCATGGAAAAGGTGTTGAAAGAAAGCAATGAAGGTGTGGTTGTGTATGTTGCACCGACAAAGGTAGTGCCCAAGGGACTTTGATTTTTCCCTTCTTGAATCTCTTAATATAATACATACCTCGTGTTGAATGCTTCGTGTTTGATTTATTTTGTTATTTGTGTGTTTATATATTTTCAAGTTTTGTGAGATACAGTTGACATATAACATTCTATTAGTTGAAAGTGTCTAACAAAAATTTGATCTATGTATACATTGTGAAATGACCACGAGTGATCTAACTACCATTCAACTCACCTTTTTTCTTGTGATGAGAACTTTGACAATCTGCTCTTTAAAAGCTTTTTCATATACACTAGAGTATTGTTAGCTGGAGCAACCATGCTCTACATTCCATCTCCAGAATCAATATATCATATGATTGGAAATTTTTACATTTTGACTCGTTTTTGACTAGTTTCATTGATTTCCACCATCACTCCTGCTTCTGGCATCAATCTGTTCTCTGTTTCTAGGAGTTTCATTTTTTTTTTTTTTAACCTGCATTTTCTCTCTCCAGTTTCATAGTGTAGGGTAAGTAGTCAGGCTTTCCTGCCCTCCCGCCATGAGGATAGATGATGGATCCCTGTGATCCTGAATGCATGCCTGATGCGGGCACTTGGAGCAGGGTGTGGGCAAATGTAAGTGGGTGCACCTGGCCTGAGAGACTGGGCTTATAAGGGCGGCGTCACGGGGACACCAGCAGAGCGAGAGAGAATGAACAGAAAGAGAAGCGGAACAGCGGAACCGCAGAACCCACTAGAAGAACAAGCGTGAGAGAGAACAAGGCCACGAGAGAATGCCGGAGAGACCAGAAACAGTGAAGATTGGCCGGGGCTGGGAGGCCTCCCAGCCTCCCAGAACTCCTGCCTGCTGTGTACCTGGTAAATCCCAGTAAAAGCCTGCAAAAGCCACCTAGGGCTCCAGGACTCCTCCTTTACCCCATCTGCTAGAATCATAAGAACCTGCTCTGTGCCTTCCTGCCATTACACATAGATTCTATAATACAACAGTTTGCTTTGAACCATTGTGAGGAGGCAGTCTGATCTTGTAGTGCCAGCAAGGCCTAGGGCAGGAGCTCTTGGAAGCTATGCAGATGGATAAAGGAGAGTCCTGGACCCCTTAGTGGCTTTTCAGGCTTTTATTGAGCTTTTATCAGGTACACGGCAGGTAGGGGTGGTGGGGGGGCCAGGAGGCTGGCAGGCCTCCCGACCCACGGCGAGTCGTCATTCTTTCTGGGCTCTCTGGCGTTCCCTTGTGGAATCTCTTCTTTCTCCCATTCTCTGCTCTCTTCTATTCTTAGTCTTTTTCTACTCTGCTCTTTCTCTTGGTTCCGTTCCTGCTAGTTCCCTGCTAGTTCCCCGTGACGCCGCCCTTACAAGCCCAGTCTCAGTGCAGGTGTGCCTACCTCTGCATGCCCACACCCCACTCCAGGTGTCCGCCATCAGGCATGCATGTAGGACCGCTTGGATCCATTGTTAATGCTATTGGTGGCATTAATGCTTATCAGGGAGAAAAGCCTGATTTTTTTCGCTTACCCTACATTTGTGATCTTGTCATTCAACATCATGCTTGGAGCTAAAGAAGACCCATGCGTATAGTAAAACTCTAGATATTTGGGTGAAGTTCCCAGAGGAACCACAAATCCATGTCTACCATCTGTCATTTGCCTTTGTTCCATAGTAGATTCACAGCTTTTCTCTAAGCCCTGGTCATCTAGGTACTCAGTTTTTTGTTTTTTTTTTCCTAATGTGAGCCAAAACTTTCCTGTTTTTAACTTCTGATGAAGCCATTATTTCCTTGTTTTACTTTAAGTTGAGGTTTCTCAATGAGGTTCACATGCTAGTGAAGTCTGTGAGAGCACTTGAGAATATTTAGAGAAGACGAATATATGAAAGGGGTTATTAAGCATTCTGTGTTCACAGCAGGACTTTTTAGATATGTCCTCTGAGGTTTCACTACCTCTCCTTACTTGTGATTAATGGATCTCTTTCCATATCCATCAGGCCCTTGTTAACCAAGTGTCAGCAACAGTTCAAAATCGATTTACCAAAACTCTACCTAATGGTGAAGCTCTGTGTGGTGTCTTTACAAGGGAGTATCGTCATGACGCTCTAAACTCTCAGGTAGGAATTGGTCATGTGGTTCTGGAACAGCACTTACATGTCTCTCACTAAGAATTCTGTCTTCATAAGACCTTGTAGAAATCATTTTCTTAAATTTACAAAAGATGAAATTTCTTTAAAGAAAATCTAATAATCTTACTTCCAAAGAGTGAGAAATCAAACTCCTCTTTCTCTATGGACACTACATTCTAATTCAGATTCCAATTATAGGTTGTTGCATCATCTTAGTTTTACATAGACTCAAAAGGATCCAAAGAACTCAATGTTATTGTAGTGTCAGGAAGGACCCAGGGCAGGTTTTCTGGTCCAGCAGACCAGGAAAGAGGAGTGTAGGGTAAGGAAAAATGTCAGGCTTTTCTGCCCTTCTGCCATCAGGACAGATGATGGATCCTTGCGGTCCTGAATGCATGCCTGATGGCGGGCACCTGGAGTAGGGTGTGGGCAGAGGTAGATGGGATTCACCTGGGCTGAGACTGGGCTTTTAAGGGCGGCGTCACGGGGACGCCAGCGGAAGCCGAAAGAGAAGCCGAGAGAGATGCAAGAGAAGCAGAAGCCGAGAGAAGGCCGGAGAGCCCAGATAGAGTGAAGACTTGCTGGGGGCTGGGAGGACTGCCAGCCTCCCGGCCCCCCCCCCAGCACCCCTGCCTGCTGTGTACCTGGTAATCCCAATAAAAACCTGCAAAACCACTGAGGACTCTGACTTCTCCTTTACCCGGTCTGCTGGATATCAGAGAACCTGCACCGTGTCCATTCCTGCCCTTACAAGGAGTCAGAGCTCTCAGTGGCTTTTGCAGGTCTTCTGTTGGGATTACCAGGTGCATGGCAGGCAGAGGCTCTGGGGAGCCGGGAGGCTGACAGGCCTCCCAGCCCACAGCAGGTCTTCACTCTGGGCTCTCTGGCCTTCTCTCGGCTTCTGCTTCTCTTGTTTCTCTCTTGGCTTCTGGCGTCCCCATGATGCCGCCCTTAAAAACCGAATCGAATCCCATCTACCTATGCCCACACCCTACTCCAGGTGCCCGCCATCAGGCATGCATTCAGGACCGCAGGGCTCCATCATCTATCCTAACGGCGGGAGGGCAGAAAAGCCTGTTAGCTTTTACCTACACTACAGTTACGAAAAATTAACAAACCCCAATTTTCAATCTGAATTACTTTTGTTTGATAAGTTCCTGGAAGAGTACCTCATGTTAAGTAAGTAGCAGACAGTTTTCTTCCATACTGAATCCATAAACAATTTACATGAAAAATGAAAACTTGATTATGGAACCTTACATGGAAGTCACGGAGATGAGTTACTTAGATGGCCTTTCAAGGAAAGACTTGCTACTCAGACAAATGCCAGCTGTCAGTCCCTCAGTTCTGCCTCCAGTCTGTATCCTGTGACTGAGTGAGGCAGGGGTGAATTCCCAAGCCATGTTGGCTTGATGTCAAACAGCCAATATTCACTTCTTAATTATTTAAAATAATTTTTATTACAGTAACATTGCATTATAATATTATGTAAGTTTTAAGTGTGCATCATTACATATAACTTCTGTATCATTACATATAACTTCTGTATATATTATGTAGCAAGTTCATCAGTAAAAGTCCAATTCTGAGTCCAGGTTGGCTAAGGTTTCATCAGGCTTGGTTTGACATTTAGCTTTTTCTTCTGCCCAATCCTGCTTTTTTCCATCCATGGTTGCTGATCCTTAATAAACATTTTTTAACCTAAACTGTCATGGAGCCTTATTTTGAAAAACCAAACTTGTGACAGTGGCTTCTGTCTATTTCTATAACTTTGAATATTTCATACGAATTTAAAGTTCTAATTTGATACTTGATCACTTTTAACCTATAAAATTACAGCTTCATAAGGTTCAAAGGAGTATGTCTCAATTTTAATGAAACATTCTTAAGCAATATTATATCCTAATTATCAGCAGTTGCTTTCAGGTGTCTTGCTTTATACCTCTTATATTCTTATTACTATGTCTATACATAGTAAGTGCTCCAAATGTTTGTTCTTTGCATGTAATTTTTTTTAGGTACTTGTTACAGTTCCTGCCTGCTTGGAAATTCTGCTGTTGAGTCCTCATCGCCAAGCATGGGTGAAAAGGATCAGATATGTTATATTTGATGAGGTAGGTTTGGTGTTATTGATTTCCCGGTGTATATAAGCACAGTAATGAGGCTGTTCAGTGCTTCAGGACAACTCTCCCTTTGTATGGAATTCAGTAGGGGCAGCACTTTCTTCTGAGTGGTTTCCCCAGTGAATTACACTCAGTTTTGGGTTCTGTTTTCCTGTTGTGACTCAGTAGGGTTTATAACAGCATGCTGCAGAGTTCTGTATGGGAGAGGAACCTGCTGTTGGTGGCTACTGTTTCAAAGAAACAGAATTAACCACCGTGGTGTAAGCGATTTCAAAACCCCATCATTGATTTCTAAAGCAATGATGTCATTTAAAAAAAAAGATTTATTTATTTATTTTTACAAGAACTGCGGTACAGACCAGAGGTGCGGGAGGGTGAGAGGATTTACCAGAGACAGAGTGGGGAGCAGAATAGGCAGACGGACTGAAGATGCTGCTGAGGGGAGCAGTGGGCGAGGCAGGAGAGGTCTGCTGCGCCATGTGGGTGGCTCCCTGGCCAGCCGGGGATCAAACCCACACTGCAGAGGCTGTGGACCGCCCCACAGTGTGGTGCCCAACCCCTTGCGCCAGCAGGGAGGCCTGTATTCATTCCTTTTAAATCAACTTTTTTTTAAAAAAGATTTATTTATTCATGCATAAATTAAGTGGGGTACAGGCCAGAGGTGTGGGAGGGTGAGAGGATTCACCAGAGACAGAGTGGGGAGCAGAATAGGGAGACTGACTGAAACACAACACTGAGGGGAACAGTGGGCGACGCAGGAGAGATCTGTTGTGCCATGTGGGTATCTCCGTAGCCGGCCGGGATTGAACCTATGATGCAGAGGCTGCGAACAGCTTCATAGCACTGCGCTCAAATGCCTGTGCCACCAGGGAGGCCCTAAATCAACTTTTCAATGGAGACTTTTTTTTTTTTAATAGGTCCATTGCCTTGGTGGAGAAATTGGAGCAGAAGTCTGGGAGCATCTCCTAGTCATGATCCGATGTCCCTTTTTGGCTCTTTCGGCCACCATCAGCAACCCCGAACATCTCACTCAGTAGGCATTGAGTTTCCATTCAATCTTAGAATGTTTGAATTTCTTACTTTCTCTGTGGGTTCTGAAAAGTGTCTTAGCTTTCTGGTGAGCTTTGTCAACTTGTATCTGATATTCTCTAACCTCCTGGCAGTGCTGAGCAAGGCCACATTCTATAAAGAGAAAAATCACAGACTCCCCCAGCCAGATCTGCAGTTGAGTGTGACATTTCCCCCTATATCTCAAGAAAAGGTTCACCAGAAATGATAGATTTGTGTTCCTTTTTCTTTGTTCTTTACCAAGAAATAAAAAAATAAAATGGTCTACTGACAAACTCTGCCATGGAAGTTGAGAACTAAGATTGTTCCACTTGTGGAAGTTTAGAAAGATAGCAAAGTCCTATTTGTTGAAAATCCTTATATCATTTTTGTCATTGTGCTAAAATTCTGCCAAGTAATAATAACAAGTACAGCAAAGACTTGTATACCAGGTGCTATTCTAAGTGCTTTGTGTATATTAACTTATGATTTTACTTTATTTCCATTACTACTACAATAAATAGTGTTGTCAACATTACTATCTTTGCTTCCATTTTAAAATGTGGAAAAGGCACAGCAAGATTCAGTGATAATTCAAGAGCCAGAGCTAGTAAAGAGGCTAGAATTCAGTCTCATGTAGTCTGGCTCTGGGACCTATGTACTCTAAGTACAATTTTTATTTTTTTTTTTTTTAAGATTTATTTATTTATGTATACAAGAGCTGGGGTATAGACCAGAGATGTGGGGGGTAAGAGGATTCACCAGAGACAGAGTGAGGAGCAGTGGGGAGCAGAACAGGCAGACTGACTGAAATACACTGCTAAGGGGAGCAGTGGGAGAGACAGAAGAGGTCTGCTGTGCCATGTGGGTTTCTCCGTGGCCGGCCAGGGATTGAACTCATGCTGCAGAGGCTGCGGATTGCTTCATAGTGTGGTGCTTAACCCCTTGCGCCACCAGGGAGGCCAGTACAATTTTTAAAGCACATGCAATTTTCTTTACTTAAAATACTTAGTGTCATAGAAATTCTTTCCATGTTCTGCCTAAATAAAATGTACATTAATTTTTTAGGTGGCTCCAATCAGTAAAATGGTACTGGAAAGAAGCAGACAACACAATGAGGAAAAATATCGCTCCTAAAAGAATTGCTGGCTCTTGCGCCAGTTCCTACAAAGACAACTTGGAAATAAAGCAGTCATACAAAGTTAGACTTGGTATGTTTGATATATTTGCAGAATTTGCATCTTTTACTTTAGAATGACTATTAATTACCTGTCCATTGATTTGACTATCCTTGTCTTCATTGTTAGTGCTTTACGGAGAGAGATACAATGATTTAGAGAAATACGTATGTTCAGTAGAACATAATGACATTGGCTTTAAACATTACCACCCATGTGCTGCATTAACAACAGATCATGTAAGTAATACTTAAGCTACATTTTTCTGAGTAATGTAAATTATTTATGCATGTAATAATTAAAATGCTTCCTTCTTGTAACGGGATAGATATTTTATAACAGTTATAAAACCTTTGTTTTAAAGGTTATAAGAATAACCTCATAATTTTCATTGGTTCCTCAATGGTATCTGGGTTCACAATGGTTTTAGTCTTTAAAATGACTAAAAATTTTAATTTATTATTTTTTGAACTTACCTTTGCCCATATTCTTTCTTCTCAGGTCCCCTATTTGTCTAATAGATGTATGTGAAATAAATATAGTTGACCAAAATTGAGCACTGACTTTGTGTTCTAAGAATTTGACATATTTTGTCTCTTTTAGTCATTAAAAAATGAATTTAGGACAATTATATTACAAATACTCCTGTTCTACAAATTAGGAAAGTAAGGCATGGAGGACTTAACTAATCACTGTTGCATCCCTAGGTGTCAGAGCAGGATGCAATCTCCCATATTTGGCCCCCTAGACCCTGCTCCTTATCTTAGTCTCCTTAATGACCTCTTGAACAAAATCTTCAGTGAGAATCACTTTATAATCTTGGACTATGATGCAGTGACTTCTAAAGCCACTGTGTGAATTTGAATGACATTTTCTAATATGATTTTGCTATGAAAGTTTCTCTTGTGTGGCATCAGCCCCCATCCAAACTCCAAATAAAACTTAAATATGGAGACAAAATTCCTGTGACCTGACCTAAGTCATACCTCAAACCTTGACTGTAGATGATATGCCTCCAATAAATCATAAAAGATTGTTTTCTCTCTCTCTCCCCATCATTATCTAGCTTTTTTTTTTTTTTTTTTTTTTTTTTAAAGAACACAGTTTTAAAAAAGTTACTTGTTTTGGGTAAAATGGTTTGAGGCAGGTATCTTTAAGTAGTAATGAGTGTAGAAGTGTGGAGTAATTGGCGATTCGTTGTTTTGGTCCAAGTGCCTTTCCTCTCTTCTGAGAGCTATTAATAGAGTAGCTGGAAAGCAGTGGAGCTGCTACAGTGTGCTCTGACCCTATGTGACTCCTGCAAAGGTCGTGCTGTTGCATGAGTCTTCTTAAACTTTCTAGATTTTCGCTGCAGGAATGCAGGATGAACAGGATGATTTATGCGTTATTATATATGGTTTAACAACGGTGTGTGGCATCATTATATATAGTATATCTCCTATAGTAGCAGTGATAACAAGCAAGAAAACCTCTCCAAATAAGGAAAGAATTCCTGATCTTGAGTAGCATACTTCAGATTAATATGAAAGACCTGAGTGACAAGAAAATACATAGTAAGTTGTGGCAACATCAAGAGAAGAACCATCCACCTTGGTGGTTTCTTCTGTACTGCTATCAGAGCAATGGTTTAAAAAAGGAAGGGTGTGGTGGGACCAGAGCAGAGCTCTGACCTTAATTCAACTGAGGTGAGGAGGGATCGCCTTGAACCCATGTGAGACTACGTTCTGGCAAAAAGCAGAGTTTGGCATTGGCCACCAGTTATGATGCCATGTAAGACCAGCTGCTAGCTCCTGGAGAGCAGTCAGCTCCAGGGAGTCCTTGAAAGAACTAGAGCCTAACTCTCTGCTGAGCATGAACTGGCTTACCATCACCTATGGCTTGGGACAGCGTGACTCACAGAAATAACATGGCGATTTACACTACTATGTGTCTAATGGTACAATTCTATGACCTTTTATTTCTTTTCCTTTCTACCTAGACTGGCTCAGAATTTGCTAACTCATTAATACTAAGTAGTGGAGAACAGCTGGATGTAATACCCAGCTTTTGCCACAGAATTGTTAGAGTGATTTTAAAAATTAAGACCTGCAAGTTGATCATTAGTCAGTCACAATAACAGTTGAGGCATCATTCATGTACCAGAATTTTTGTAAAGTTGGTTAAATATATTATGTAAGTCAATTATTTCAATACATTTTGGCATAGGCAGAATTGTTCATTTTAGAAATGAGGAAACCCAGACTTTAAAAAAATTGTATTATTTTTTATTGAGGTACTGTTGTCATACAGCACCATTTATGATATGATTCATACTTCTTCAGATGTGTGTTACCACATCATACCCATCACCCATGGTCCTCCACCATTTCATTGTACCCTCTGCTCAACTATACAGCCAGATTTCTACGGTTTGTCTTGTTTGTTTCCCTGTTTTGTTTCTCTCTTTCCACATATGAGTGAAATCATCCATTATTTGTCTTTCTCGTTCTGACTTATTTCACTTAACTTAATCCTCTCCCGTTCTGTCCATGTTGTTGCAGATGGCAAGATTTCATCTTTTTATTTTTCTATAGCTGATCAGTATTCCTTTGTGCATATATACCACGTCTTTTTGAGCCAGTCATTGGGCACTTAGGTTGTTATCATCCCTTGGTTATTGTAAATAGTGCTGCAATGAACGTAGGAGTTTATATATCCCTTTAAATTTGTGTTTTTGCATCCTTTGAGTAAATATCTGGGAGTGAATTGCTGGATCATATGGTAGATTTATTTTTAATATTTTGAGAAATCTCCATACTGTTTTCCTTAGGGGTTTGGTCAGTCTGGTCCCACCAACAGTGTATTAGGGTTCTTTTTTCTCCGCAACTCACTAACACTTCCTGTTTCTGGTCTATATGAGGACCAGTCTCACAAGTGTAAGGTGGTATTTTATTATGGTTTTGATGAATCTGGAGTGGCTTTTTTAGCCCAGAATTTCCAAACCTTATTGGGGATATCTGTGTACTGTAGTCTCTTCTTAGAGATTTATAATTTCCAGTGAGAAGCTTCAAAGAGACCTAAATGAACACTTACGAAAACATCCTGCCACCCTCATTTAATTTAAAGAAATCCTTTTAACCTCTCAGGGGCCATGGTTCCCAGGCAACTGTTCCCTACCAATAGTGATTGAAGCCAGTAGAAAATACTATCATGTAAACTTTTTGAGAACAGGCTTTTTTTTTTTTTTTTTTTTGTTTTCATTGACATTTAAAGTATTTGTGGAAAAAATGAATGGCGTGCATATTCAGAAAGCTTAAGGAAACACCACTGTTTAAAGCAGTGACCTGGGGGCGAATTTCCTTTGTTTCTTAAAGGGGGCTTGAGAGCCTTAATCTGGTAGTTGACCCTGCTTTTATCTTAGAAATTAAGCAAATAAGAGTTGCCCCTTTGACCCTTGCTAGGACCTGAGAAGCAGAATAATCATACCCAAGATTAAATCAAGGTCAGCTTCCTGCTTCAGGGTAGAGATTGTGTTTTCTTATTTAAAATGAGTCCACAAATCCAGGTTTGCAGTTAATCTGATTTGAATTTATGATGGCAGTGAAAGATCAGTGCAGGGGCCAGGAATGAGGAAGCCCACATAGAAAAAACAAGATGGCCCCAACACCATTACCATCAAACGAAACTGAAGCCATAAACAGGAGAAAAACAACTTGGCTCCACAAAAAACAACTTTGTTCTGCCTAAACCTGGTCCCACCTCTGCCAACCCAGTTTTCCTGACTAACCTCTCCTTACCCTATTAAAAGGACATCTCCCCCCACAACGGGCATGACTTCATGGACCCCCACCTTGGGTCCTTGAAGCTTGCCCGGGGGTGCAATAAATTTTCCTTTCCTTTGAGAAAGTTTAGCCTGGCTCCTCTTTTCTTTACCTCACCAAACCTTTCAGGCAGTACCTAAAGAATTAATCCAAAATGTAAGATTTTAGAAAATAATAAAAACACTGGTGGGGTTTCTTTTTCTATTTTACTAAATCAGGGATCCTCTTGGCTAGTATTTTGTTTGTATTTAGCACTTATCAGCATTTAAACATTTTGCTATCGTGTTTTCAATGATAATGACTATTATGTGAAGGATAGACCATAAGAAAATACAAGAATATTAAATATTTCAACTTTGTTTTTAATATAGATCGAAAAGTATGGATTCCCTTCTGATCTTGCTCTTTCACCTCGAGAAAGCATACAGCTTTATGACACTATGTTGAAATCCTGGGAAAGTTGGCCCAGAGCCCAGGTAAAGAATAATCATATAATTTATTTGATTAACGCTATTGGTACAGGGCAGGGAGAGGGGCACCCCAGAACCCCCAAACCTGCCTGCTCTAAATAGGTTCCGCCATCCACCGCATCAAGACAAAACATGTAAGGCCTTCAATGGAAAGGAACTTTAATACAATTAGTGAACAATACAGAAAAGACAAAGAATATAGTTTCTAGACCAAGCACCAAAGTTACCCGTCCCCTCGTGGGTAAAAGTTCACCCAAACGGGATTGGCCCAGAGCAAGGCTCCAAAGCCTGCAACAAGTCTAAAGCACCTTCCAGTGGGGACCTACGGAAAAGAATCAGAAACAACCAGACATGTCTGGGAGGAAAAGAGCAAAATCAAAATCAAGGTACTAGTTGCCATTGTTAACCTCCCCACGGGTCTTTCACCCTCATCTGTGTCACCTAGTCAAGGACCAAAAGGCAAGCACAGTTTCTTCACATGTCTCTGCTCCAAGTGCCTCCTCCAGGTCTCCTCATTGCTCACCATCTTGCTTCCTTCCTTCCTGTCTCTTCTCTAGCTGCTGCTTCTCCCTGCTCAGCTGCACCCTCCTTTGGGTGGGGCAGGGAACCTGGAACCTCCCCCTTTCCTGGGTACCTCCCTGTTACACTGTGAGAGTTGATGGTTAAGATGTTATTCTGAAAGATAAATTCTTACCATTTTTAATCGCTTGTATCTGATATTTAAAAATTATCAGTGGAGTTCTTCAAAATAAAATACTTTACTTCTCAGTGCCATAAAATTCCTGAAGATGTCAGTGAGCAGACTAGGGGGCACTCCTGGATCTCCAAACCTTGCATGCGCTAAGTGGGTTCTGCCATCTGGTGCATAAAGACAAAGCATACTCTTAGTGCATACGACCTTAGTAGAAAAGAACTTGAATAGAATTAGTGTGCACAGAGAGAGAAGAGAAGAAAGGATACTGGTTTCCCAATGAAACAGAAGAAAGATACTGGTTTCCCAATGAAACACTCAAAGTCACTTATCACCTCATGGGTAAATGCCCAGGCAAACAGGGCTGGTCCAAAGTGGGGCAAGTGAGCCCCAAAAACTTGCCAAAAGTCTAAGGCATCTTCTAGTGGGGAACCTAGTCAGGGACAGAAAGGGCCAGGAAGGAAAGGAACAAAATCAAAGTATAAATTAAGGTAAGAACTGCCATTGTCAGGCACTCCATGGGTCTCTCACTCTCTTCCAAGTGTCTCTATGTATCTTGACTCTATGTGTCTCCTTCTGTGTCCCCCGGGTCCCCAGTGTGAGTCCAAAGCCGAGAGGCAGATGCGTCCTTCCTGACATGTCTCCCTGCTCCAAGTGCCTCCTCCAAGTCTTCTCATCTCCCCTCCCCAGTACTTTGTAGCATCCTTTGCTACTCAGTTCCACCCTTCCTTAGGTGGGACAGGAATCATGGAACCTCCCCTTTCTCTGGAGATTACACTGTTCCAAAAATACTACTTCTTTCAGCTTCTGGGGTAGCATAATACTTTAGTATTATAGGAAATTTAATAGAAAACTTCCTGTTTCCTCTTATCTCTTAGATGTCTAGTCCATTTTCTTTCATTGTATCCCATTTTTAATCTGTGTTTTAGCTGCTGTCTGTTTTCACCTTCTACTTGGCTTTGCTCTGCATTCTGTGCTTTGAAGAATTCATCCATCCTATTAGGTTTAGGTACTAGGAACTATGGGGATGCTAAACGAAGTTCAACAGTCTCTTCTCTCAAGAAGTACATGTTGCTGTTAGTGAAATACTTAATTGAGAAACATCTTTGCATTTTTTTTGCAGGATTTTATTTAATTTTGTGGTATTTATTTTCAAGGAATTGTGTCCAGAGAATTTCATTCATTTTAAGAATAAAATAGTCATTAAAAAGTTGGATGCTAGAAAATATGAAGAGACTTTAAAGGCAGAATTAACAAATTGGATTAAAAATGGCAATGCAGAAGAGGTAATCTGTTGCCTTAAATAATTGCATGTATAAATTTCATGTGTCTGTGTATAGATGTGTGTGTGTGTGTGTGTGTGTGTGTGTAGTTTTGTTATCTAGTACATTGCTTTGATTGATTTGTATATATTCCTTTAATGGTTCCATGCTGAGTTTTATAATATATTTTCATCATTATTTTTATTTTGTATTTATTTTAAAGAAACACAAAACATAGATTAAAAAACTATGAAAATATTTTAGACAAAAATGCTAATTCCTCTCCTTATTATACAGACTTTACACTATTTTTTTTTTCTTTGCTATAGGCCAAAATGGTCTTGAGGAGACTTAAACCTGATGGAATTTCAAGTTCAGGAAACATGTTAACAATGTTTCCACTTCTTGTTGAAAAGCTAAGGAAAATGGGGAAGTTGCCTGCACTATTTTTTTTGTAAGTCGTTTAATGTGTTTTTGTTTGTAACTTGACTAATCTCTTTAAGTTAATGAACTTCACTGTTTTAACATAGTATTAATTGCTGCTTTTGTTGTGTATTTGTTATCAGAATGTGTATTTTAAAAGTACACCTTTCTAGTTCAGTTCCTAAAAAATTAATTTTACTTTTTGATTATAAATTTCATTCTTTATTTAGTCATCTTCACCATTTTTGGCTTTCTTTTACTCTTAATGATCATATTTTTATTTAGATCTTGATAATTTTCAGTAGATAACTAGTTTTTGCAAAACAAATGGAATGTTCATGCACACAAGTATCATAAAAATTAAACATTCTTACAATGTGCTAGAATATTTATTGGTGGGATATTTTATTGTTTTAAATTTATATTTATGTGATATATAACTAAAATACATTGATATATTGTTAAATTGTACATGTTATAGCATAAAATAGTTTAAAATTGAATGGAATAGGCCACTTTTGATAAAATGACATCAAGTATTAATTTATTAAATGGATAACAATCTATCCTGGACTAAATTTGGAAACCTAATTCATGATCAAAACAATACTTTATTTACTTGATACAATTTCAAGCTTTATATAAATAAGTTCACAGAATTTTACTCAGGTGGAAAAGTTAGTGAGACACATAAATATAAGTGTACTAATGAACTATAACTGGTGGTATATTTTTAAGATAATGGTGATAACTGAATGTATGGTTGTGTTTGAAAATTTTAAGGAATGTAATAAAATTGTGCATTTCACTTTTATTGGGACTAGGAAAATAAATTTCTATATTACCAAGAAATTCCACAGTTCACCCATTTCACTTTGAAGCAAACACAATTCTGTACCCCTGGGATTTTTCTGCAAGTCTAACTGCAAAGCAGAAGTCCAAAAAGTATTTGTGTTCATAAACCACATACACTTTAAGCATTCAGAAACTGATATATGACACAAAAAAGATGATGGGTTTAATTCTTCTTGAGAAGTTGAGTCTTGGCATGTTTTTATGCAATTTGGGTTTCACAAAACCTACTGTGAAAATCCTTAATGCAATTTGACTTAGTCCTTATAATTCTAGATCACCAGTAAATCTGAGGATTTGTCAAGGCTCAGTCTGTCCTCTGGGAGCTTTTCAAATAATAGTCTGGTCTCTGGGGAAAGAAATGCATGTTTTATGACAGTATTAGGGTCTGCTTAAGAACACCACTTTGTGGTCAGGTTCAAGTGTGGATTCCACCTCTGCCCTCTATTAGTTCTTTCACTTCTTGCCAGTTACTTAATGACTTTGACATTGAGCCTGAGTTTTCTCATTTGCAAAATGAGGTAATTAAAATAATAACACATCGGGCTGGGGTGGGGATAAAATAAAAATAAATTATGAAAGCTATAGGGTACTACAAAATACTGGCTGAGATTCAATCTCTAGATCACATTCATTCTATATAGGTTCCTAAAGAAACTTAAATGGAAAAATCATTTCCAAGTAATATTGACATTTTTAAATGGAGTAAGGTGATGAAAATTATACCATCTAATACATAATGTGCATCTAGACCACCGTAACTTGCAATCACATAAAAAGAGAAAGAGTTATAGTTATGTCATAGTTAAGAACATAGGTTTGGAAGCTAGACCCTGCCATGTACAAATGTAGGATCTTTGGCAGGTCACTTCATCTCTTTATGTCTTCATCTTCTCATCTGCAAAATAGGGATAATCATAGAGTTCTCCTCAGTTGTTGTTACTAGCACTGAATGAGTTAATATATTTAAGAACTTAGAATATTGTCAAATGTATTATATATGTGTTAAATATCCTTATTTTTCACCTCTGAAATTTCTTACCATGTAGCATGTATTTCTATTTCTTTTAATCCTTACTTCACCATATGCCAATTTATTTACTCCTCACTAGCTAATAACTTTTCCTCTAGCTCGAAATAGTAAAAATTGTAATTGTCTTACAGTTTACATGTGAAAAACTTGGTTGTGTAGACTCAACCTATGATTTGTTGTAATAAGCTATGTTTAATATATTTAGTGATAATGGCTTTTATCTAGTTCCAGGCATGGCATTGGCAAGATGGTATTGGGGGAAAATAAAACCATGGATATTTCAGTCTTCTTATCAAAAGCCCTAACTTTCAGACATAGGAAAATATATGTGATAGAAAGATAAGGCATGTTTGACTTTACATTCCTGGAAACACTTTATTCTTCACATACCATGAGAACTTGATCTGTAGCCATTTGCTTCGTTAGCTGCTTGGGTCTGAAAGGACCTAATGTTTACAACCTGAAGAAGGTATTGTTTAATCCCTGTTTCCAGGAAATCTGGATCAGTTGCCCCTTAGTGTTTATTTTAGTGATTATTCCTTTTGCAGAAAAGTGAGAGAAAGAACACAACTACACATTAAATTCGGTTACTACATATCAGATCATGGTTTATTGCTCATCCAAGTCAAGTCTGTGCTACCCCTTGTATGAAAAGTAAGGCATAAAGGCTAGACCATTGGAAAGATTTCTGGATCCTAAAGGCCAGCAACGCTTGGAGTTTATCTGGCCTTTGAAAAGACATAGTGACATTCTGAAAGTTTAGAGTGAGAGCCCAAGATTCTTCCATTCTTGCCTGAAGTGGCTGATGACTCCGGAAAAATTTAAAATCCAAACAGGTGGATTACCTATGTCAGTAATAGGTGGGAAGTAGGACTAATTTTTATTTATGTTATTTTCACTTGTTATGAATCTTTTCACTTGTTTCAAGATTCAAGTTAGGAGCTGTAGAAAAATGTGCTCAAGATGCATGCCTTTACCTGCAGCAAAAGCAAGAGCAAAAAAGGCCTCCCAAAGCAGATAAAGAAGCCCATGACATTAGTAACAAACTTCGGAAAGTTAAAAAATCTATTGAGAAACAAAAGGTGATGTAAGTAAACAAAAGGTGACTAAAAGGGTCCCAATAGGAAACATGCAATGAATGTGCTAGAAAGACAGTTTAGTTATGGCTTGAATTTATTTACAGATGCAGTAAATTGGGTGGCAGAATATAGTAAAGAGAAGTGACCATAATATTTATATATTCTTTGTTGAATTAATGAGTCTCAATTAGGACTTGGGAGAAGCAAAGCCACAGTCGAGGAGTATAGGCAGATGATGTACCTGACTTAATCACCCTTCAGAATAAGCCCATCTTTGACACATGGGAATCTTGACTTTCAGGCAGCCCTCAAAAGACTTGAGAAAGCCTTCATATCTTGGATCATTATATGAAATGTGCTGATATATCCTCACAGTCACATATGTAAACACAGAATAAGCCTGAGAATGAATTGAAATGCCAAATTTATGCCCCTAAAAGTTTGCTTGTTTGACATCTCTTCCATGTTCCCAATGTCTAATTCTGCTAACTTGAGGCCCAAATGTTTATCCTTCCCTATTATGCTCTACATCTTTAGTCACTGCCTGTTCATTGTATCTTCCTTGGATGTCTGCAGACATTCTGTTTTTGGAATTTTGGACCTTAAGATTCACCACTCTCCAAGTTAGCTAATAATGGTCTTGCTAACATTGCAATGGATTTAATTATCCTGCATCAAATTTCTTCCTTGCTTACCTGATGAAGACTAAAGTATCTGGTTGTGGAAAATATGCCCATATGTTTTGTCCTTTGCCCTAATATTTCGACTTGACTTGCTCATCCATATCTATACTTTTCCAGATTCTGACCCAATGTGGTTGATTTTTGTACTTCCATTCAGTCAGTTACCACCCGTGGGCCAATTCTTTACTCTGAGGAGAGATAATAACCTCACAGGAATTTCCAGCACGTTCTTCTCAGTCAAGAGCGATTCTCCAGGGAATAGTGCACCCAAGAGCCCTTACTCACCAATCTCAGAGCAGCTATGGTATCCACTTCCAGGAGGGAAGAAGAATGACCTAGAATTGCAAAGAGCAAAACTAGTGTCAGTAAGACCAAGAACAGGACAGTGCTCATCACTTTAGCAAATCCCAGCACTTTTACAAAAGGGAATTAGGACCATCTGGTAAAAGTGAATTTGGCAAGAAAGTTACTTAAGAAAAGAAAGAAAATGGGCCTCCACTGGTGGCGCAGGCGGTTGAGCGCTGTGCTGTGAAGCTGTCCACAGCCTCTGCCGCGCCTGTTTAATCCCGGCCAGCGGGCGAGGGTCCCACATGGCGCGGCAGACTTCTCCTGTCTCGCCCGCTGCTCCCCTCAGCAGTGTATTTCAGTCAGTCTGCCTGTTCTGCTCCCTGCTCTGTCTGGTGAATCCTCTCACCCTCCCGTGCATCTGGCCTATACCCCGATTCTTGTATAAATAAATAAATAAATCTTTAGAAAAATAAAAAGAAAAAAAAGAAAGGGAATGTTTGGAGAAAATGTGAGTGCATAGGAGATTTTTTTCATGAGTATGCACAAATTCCAGAGACAAATGAGGAAGTATGTTTGAGGAAGATGAAATCAGGAGAGACAGATGTTTATTACACTGAATGTCTGGGTGAGAGGGGCATCAGAGAAACCTTGGGCTTCCTATGTTGGTGAAATCTGAACATTCATTACCTAAAATTTTATTTTCATGAACAGAGAGGAAAAAAGCCAGAAAAAGCCCAGAAATACAGATCAAAGCCTAGTACATGAAGCTGAATACAGCAGTCTACTCAAGAGTCTAGAGAAGAACCTAGGAATCCCTCTGGACTGCACATTTGCTGATCCAAAAGCAATAGACGATGAGGTGAGACCTTTTGAGTGAAAAGGTCCTCGAGGAACCAACTCCACTCAACAGCCATAACTTCTCAGTTACAGACAGTGTCAAATGTAATAAGTAAACACGATCCCTACCGCGACAGACCTGCCAGCTGCACATGACTCTAGAGTTCAGCAGAGAAAGTTTGAAAAGGATAGAATTAGGATTTATAGATTATTTCATGCTTCTTAACAATTAACCCAAAGTGTTATTTCTTTCTGTCACACTGTTTTTCACAGCCTGAATCCTAAACCTCAAGCTCACATGCCTTATTTGAATATTTGCTGACAATACACTTTAAATAATGTACTCAGAATATCTTAAAATCAGAGGCTTTCTTTACTACAGTCAAAACATTTCACCAAAAAGGCCCTGGAATATCTAAGAACGATAGTCTTTTGGTGTAGCAAAGCCATCATCACTCATTCAAAAGTAATCAGTGCCTTTCTGGAAGAACATTTTATCTGTGACTACATACACACACATGATGTCATGTATGTGTATATTGTGCATGTGAGTATGTATAGATGATTATATGTACATATATACATGTAAACAAACACATAAACACATGAATAGAATACATTCTATTCATTTTGTATTATTTTGTCAAGTTCATGATCTCTTTTTAATAATCATGTTTTCACATCATCAGTTTAATGGATCCTTAATATTCCATTGTGTAGATAACTTAAAGAACTGAAATTTTGCTTTTGCATACCTAGACTTTGTTGTTTTTCTTTTCTCTTCCTCTCACAGACAGTGTTTATCTTTGTCCATAACTGTACACAGTGCACTTACTCCATAAAGCAAGAATATTTTTAAGGTCATTAGTGACCAATTCACAATGTGAAGTAAGCATCTCTGATCATCTAGAATAGGGACCCAGCTCTCTGTCTTTCCCTGGGGACACTATAAGACTCCAGGACAGAACCAAGACAGCCATGCCTCACACCTCCCCTGGGGGTTTTATCTACTGCTTGTTCAGTATCTTTCATCCCTCAAGTGAAATGAAGCATTGTGGGGTGAAATAGGTGAGAAAGTCTTCAAAGATTTGAGAATAGTACCTTTAGTTACTGTTGCTGCCGTAAAATGTTTTTTATAGTTCTGAAAAGTCCATGTCAAGTAGTTGCCTTGTTGAGCCAAATTATTACATAGTCTGTTGTCATTTTCATTTAAACATTTTGATTCAGATTTGATTAAAATTAGATAAATTATCAAAGTCCCTAAATCTCTTACTGTTTTTAGTCTTTGCAGATGGTGTTCAATCGAGTCCGTTCTTCAAGAAAAGGTGAAGAACTCAAGACTTTGGCAATGAGGGGCATTGGATATCATCACAGGGCTATGAGTAACAAAGAAAAACAGTTAGTGGAGATTCTCTTTAGGAAAGGATTTATTAGGGTAGGTACATTTTTTCATTCTCTATGTTGGACTTGTGTCTGTGAAACTGAATGCCCATGAAAAGTGGAAAATGCAAACATTCTCTTCTCATACCATTGTGGCTACTTTTTTTTTTTTTTTTGCAACCTAAGTTTGTTAACTGAATATTCCCTTTTCATTTAATTGAGGGAAGGGGTTTGAAGTTTAGCATTCAGTTTGCCTTTTTATTTGATGAAATTAAGATATTCCCTAAATACATGTTTTTCTAAATATATCTATAATGAAATACACCCTATGATAACCTTGGAACAACAACTAGCTTTTTCATTTATTGTAATGTCAAGGGATTTTTTTTTTCAGTCGTTCATATAATTTTGGCTACAGACATTCTTTCATAGACTTGTAGGACTTTTATGATAGCATTTTTACCAGATCTTTTCCTAACTTCATGGCTGAAGTAAGAGTAAGAATACATTGCTTGCTTGGGACCAGTGCATATCTAGTTATTCCTATCTGTTCTCCCTCTAATCACTGACAGTGGATGAGAGGAAGATTAACTTAATATCGCATGTAAACCAATCCTTTATGTTTTGTTAGAAATGTCCTGTAAGGATGCTTGTGGATAGTCTGGATAAACTCAAAAAAGTATTTGCATCTTTTAATCTTCATAAAGTGAATGTTGTGGAAAATCTAACATTTTAACTAAATGATAGTTCTATTATCTGGAAAAAACAAGATATACTTAGCTTTTATCCTCACTAATGTCATTTATTTTAAAGCTCAATAAATGGAAACAGGATTTTCTACATGTTTTTAAATTGAGGGTAAGTGTCACATTTATTTTAATCAGCATATACTAGAACAAAAGTAGTGTATGTTGGATAGTGGCCACAACATTACTATTAGTTTAATAAATGAATAACTACATCAATTGAAAAAGGTATAGAGATAGCTTTATTATCGAAAGCATATTTAAAAAAAGGTACTTGTTCTAGTTATAGTATAAATTTAATGTTTTCTGTTTTGTTGCATTTTGATAGATACCGAAATATCACTTCCAGAATACTTAGTTTCCTCCGTATATTAAACGTTACTATTAACCATAGAATGTATAACAAACAATATAAAGAGAGAAATTAGAAATATCCTGTGTCACATGAAGAAAATGAACAGAAGTGAATTACTTAAGAAACTTTAAATTTTGTCCTATGCTTTTTCTAGTCAGATAATTTATTTATGCATACAAGAGCAGGGGTACAGGCCAGCGGTGTGGGGGGTGAAAGGATTCACCAGAGACAGAGTGGGGAACAGAACAGGCAGACTGATGAAGTACACTGCTGAGGGGAGCAGCGGGCGAGGCAGGAGAGGTATGCTGCACCATGTGGGTTGCTCCCTGGTCAGCTGGGAATCGAACTCATGCTGCAGTGGCTGCAGACAGCTTCACAGGCTGTATCTTAACCCCTTGTGCTACCAGGGAGACCCATGTGTCTGTATTTTGTTCAGTGATAGGGAGGCAATGGGCAGTGGGGTTTGGAGTCTGGTGTAGGACAAACAAACAATAATATTCGAGGAAGTCATTAATGTTATGGAAAGAAATAATGTAGGTTAGGGAGAAATTATGATCATAAAGGTAGTTATTTTAGATATAATAGTCCAGACATTTCTATTTGACATTTGAACAGAGAATTGAGCAAACCAAATAAGTGAGTATTTAGGAAAAGAATATTCTGGGTAGAGGGAAGAGTGATTACTATGACACTGCTCTGGAAGGTACGTGGAGTGTCTGGAAAACCAATGATACCAATGTGGTTGGTATCTCTAGCTTTCCCACTGTCTTCTCATTGAAGTCAAAGAATTTCAGTAACTATATGGCAGTCTATTGAAATGCTATTTTATAATGTAATTGTTTTATTCTCTTTCTAGGTGGTAACAGCTACTGGGACTCTTGCTTTAGGAATCAACATGCCTTGTAAATCTGTGGTTTTTGCTCAAAACTCAGTCTATTTGGATGCTTTAAATTACAGACAGGTATTGCCATGTGCATAAACTTGCTATTGCATTACTGCGATGTGGCCATAAAATTGTTGAAACTGTGTCTTTAGTTTGCAAACATGCTGCACTTTGCTGTCTATCACACCTTGACATTCATTTGTAACTGTGATATAGTGGGAAGCACGTGAGCTTGGGATTATGTGACCATCACTAACCAGATGTGTGACCTTGGATGAGCTACCTAAACTTCCTGATCCTTCTTTTCTATCTCTTTTCTATCTCCAGAATAGGGATAATAATTACTAACCTGCAACAAATGCAGTAATTTTTTTCCTCAAATTTTATTGACTTCCCAGTCATTGATATAATTTTGGGAGTACAATTTCATGCCTCACTCACCCTCCACCAAAGTTTCAGTGCCAGTACCCTATCCCCTTATCTTAGTAAGATCTTGCAACTCAACAGGATAAACCATGGAATATATACTCAGTGGAATAATTCAGTATATACTTCCTCAGCTTGTTTTGTTTTGATATTTATTCTATATTCTGCAAAGGTGTGAAACTATCTGGTAACTGTCTTGTACTTCCTGACTTATTTCACTTAGCATAACCTCCTTAAGATCCATCCATTTTGTCCCAAATAACACTAATTCATCTTTTTAAATAGCTGAATAGTATTCCACTGAGTATATATTCCACAAATTCAGTCATCTTGCAAGAATTAAATGAACTAATTTGTGGGGAAGGTACACATCGAAGGTGCACATAAACATTTAATTGTTCATTCCCTGTGCACTTGATTTTATGTTTCTTTCTTCAGTCTATTACCAAGACTACTTCATTGTTCTCCTGAGTGGTATTTGATTTTTGCCTTGTAATTTCTGTTCCCATTATCTTTCATCACACATTCTTGGTCTTGAATTATTAAAAGTTTTCCTAATGTTCAATTCTCCTCACTGTGCTATGGCCAGCAGACAGCATAGTTTATCTTCATAAGGTTTCCTTATTCAGGAGCATTTGATGAATACTTCTGTTAGCAGCATTGAATTTAGATAGATTAACCAACATTCAAGGTTTTTTCAGAGCTTCCTTCCTTCTCTAAACACTTATATCTTATTCCCTCATAGACCTTGTTCTTACCCAATATTATATCTTAGTGTTTCCCAGGCCTCGATGCTCTGCATGAACTGTCCTCCTATAGCATCTGTGAGAATCTCATATTAAGGGTCCTGGAGCCTGAGTGTTATGGTATTTTGCATGATGGACTTGGGAAATGTCAGGACATGAGTCCTGACTCTTCCACATCCTGGTTGGTTGACTATGGACAGGTTTCTTAAATTGTCATGCCCCATGTGACATGCAAAATGGGAATAATCATTCTATTCACTTTATGTGGTTGTTGTGAGTCTGTTTAATTGATCTGGCACATTCTGAGCACTTAAGAAATGAAAATGAATGTATCGTATAAAGACTGTTCTTAGCTTGCTTTCTATAAGTAGCATTTTTGAGTTTTATCTCATATATTTCCCTGATTTAGGTACTTGTTTTATGGTCATTTGTAACAACACAATTGTGTGTAAGAGAGAGCAGGAGAGAAAGGGACAAAGAAAAGGAAAAGAGAGAATTGGTGTAATAAGGTCAGCTGTAAGGGAACTTGACATAAGGTAGTCTTTTTTTTTTCTTGTGTACTATATATGCCATTATAAAATATCTAGCCTGTTTTTTTTAGCATGAAATATTTACTTAATGAATGTCTCACTGGAGCTCTATCTCAACCATGGTCAAATTCCTAAGTTGAGTTAAGTTTAATGATTAAGTGTATTCAGCATTTACGTGCTCAAAAACCCAGTGTAGAAGGCTCAATTCTAATTCTAATACTTGGATGGAAAAAGCATTTAGAGAAATTTATTTTGTGATTCTGTCTTGTTTCCAGATGTCTGGACGTGCTGGAAGACGGGGCCAAGACCTGCTGGGAGATGTATATTTCTTTGATATCCCAATGCCGAAAATAGGGAAACTCATAAAATCCAAAGTCCCTGAGCTGAGAGGGCAGTTCCCTTTCAGCATAACCTTGGTGCTGAGACTCATGCTGCTGGCTTCCAAGGGAGATGACCCAGGGGACGCCAAGGCAAAGGTACCCTGTGGACACTGTCTGAGGCTGATGGGCTACAGTGGGGTCTACTCTTCTTTTAGAAGTCTGTGGCAGCAACTTTTCAGTTTCATCTGTCTTCCTTCATTCCCTCCCTCTCTCCTTTCCTTCCTATTGTATATTGAGGGAATGGAGTTCAACTTTTAATTTTTACTTTTTGTTTTCATCATTCTCTAATATCTTGTAAGTTCTTGAACAGTGCAGGATTGGGGTGGGGTGGGAGAATAATAATTGACTTCATTTGTTTCCTCTAATCAAACAAAATTTGTGGCTGTACATACATTTGGAATTTCCCAAGATTACTGTTTTCATATGTGACATCCGCTGTCCTATTGTAGGTAGAGGTGTAGCTTATGGATTTAAAAGCTCCTGGGTTAGATTCCGGTTTTTACCATTAGGGACATAAAAGTTTATTTTTATAATTTCAAAATAAAGGAGTTAATATTTTTTCATAAAAGTGTAACCCAAGTTTATCAAAGAATATTTGGGTAATATAAAGTTGAAAGAGAAAAAAAACCCATCCACTCCTACTGTCCAAAGACAATCACATGATTATTTTGGTATTTTTTTTCCAGTAATTTTTATTGTTTTTTACTTTATTGAGGTGACATTGGTTTACAATAGTGTATGATTTAGGGAAAGAGGTTCAAACTTCCTCAGGTGTGTGTCATCACACAACACCCATGAAATACTCACTTATTAATGAATGTCTCACGAGCTCTATCTCAACCATGGTCAAATTCCTAGGTTGGAATTTAGTTTGATATTTACTGCTCTTTAGTAACACAGATGTGGATTTTAATTCTGCTGGACTTTAATTTGCTGAAATTCTTCACTGTTTCATATGTCGCTTTCATATTATAATATGAAAACCAACAAAGCCCCTGTAATTCTCTACTCATGCCTTGTGACCCAGGCCTCTTTTGTTTCCAGGCATTTTTCTAGGCACAAGTGTTCATTTTTAAAGAATGTTGTATTTATATTTAGATGGATTTCAGAATATGGCAATAAACGCTTCCTGAGGTATTTTGCACAGGTTAATATTTTGTGTCCAGTTCCACCATGAGAGAAAAAAAAATCATAATTAAATATTTTGATTCTCATGTTTGTGAATATGCATTGTAAAAAAGACCTCTTCTTCCTGTTTTTGTATGTTGATGTGCACACCCAGTTAAATCTGATGCTATTTGCTGGAGCGAAGAATCTTCTAGGACTTTTGTAATGAGGTGACTCCTGTGTTGTTATGGCCTAGAGAACAGGCCCATATTATTTTAGACCCAAACTTTCCTACTTTTGAGTTCTTAATTTTTACCTCTTATATGGGAGATAAAAATACATTATCTTGCCAGACTTTAACTTTTTTTAATAAAAAAGATTATTAGAATGGTTTATTTTCTTTGCCAACATATTTGTTAAGATGTCTCTGTAACCACATTTAGAAGATTCTTAAATGTGAAAATACTCCTAGACTATTCTCTTCACTCATTGTATTGAACCAAGATAGCTTCTTTGCTTTTTGCATTTACTATGTAGTGTCTCCTCTAGACAAGTCATTCTAATTTCTGTTTTCATTTAGTTGATTTGACTTGTTTCTGCCTAAGTAATTATATGAATTTTTTTATCCTTATATTTCAAATTCTTTCCCCCAGGATATGCTATTCTTTCTTTGGGCACTTTTAGACTGATGCTTAGATATTTTTTTAATGGGATAAAATACACGTAACGTAAAACTTGCCATCTTGACCATTTAAAAGCATACAGTTCAGTAGTATGTTAAGTGCATTCTTGTTGGTAGTTTTGGAACTAAGAAAGATTTCTTAAATTTGACATTTTCTTTTGTTATGTTTTTGTTTTGAGGGAGCTATCAGTTTTAAACCCGAAATTCTTTTTTTTTTTTTTAAGATTTATTTATTTATTTATACAAGCACTGGGTACAGTCAGAAGTGCGGGAGGGTGAGAGAATTCACCAGAGACAGAGTAGGGAACAGAACAGGCAGACTGAGGAAGTACACTGCTGACGGGAGCAGCGAAAAATGCCAAATAATTTTTTAAAGAAATTCTTTTGCTGCATAAGGAAAACAATTTTCTTAAGTCAGCTCTTTTTGTAAATGTAAAAGCAAATGTCTTTTTCCTTCCTCCTTTCTCCTTCACTTCTTTGCTGCTACCTTGTCTGCTAGCCTTGTGGTGAATAGCGATTCTTTCTTTTACCTCTCTAGCCTAATGGTAGCCTGGCTTAAATTTTGATGATGTTGTTAAGTGTCTCTTTTATTTGACCCTCACTGACATTTTAGTGAGCAGTTGAAAGATACCTGAAATACCACCTAGTTACTGCTTTATATTGGAAACCAAAGTAGTTTTATTCAGCCAAGTTTCATTATTTTGGCAACATGGGAGACCATGGAATAATATATTATCATATATCTTGTTTTCTTCTAGATCAACCTAATAGTTATAAGCCTTTGAACTGAATTCATACTTTTTACCAGATTTTTAGCAATGTTTCATTTCTTCTAATTCTGTTTTAAGTGTTCTGTGTTGTTAAAGGAAGAATGTGCCATGTAAAACTTGGTAAAACAAATGTTATGGAATCTAATTATTGATTCTTATATATTGCCGGTATCTATGTAATATAAGTGACATGGGTAGTATTTATCTTATTTTGTAATTTTTAAAAAAGATTTATTTATTTAATACAAGACCTGGGGTACAGACCAGAGGTGCAGGGGGGGGGTCAGAGATTCACCAGAGACAGAGTGGGGAGCAGAACAGGCAGTATGATGAAACACACTGCTGAGGGGAGCAGCAGGCAAGATAGGAGAGGTCTGCTGAGCCATGTGGGTAGCTCCCTGGCCAGGGATTGAACTCATGCTGCAGAGGCTGTGGATAGCTTCATAGTGCTGTGCTTAACAACCTGAGCCACCAGGGAGGCCCTGTATTCTTTTATATGATGGACTGTCAGTGTGGTCACAAGAGGAGAGAGAGCTGAGATTCAGGAAAGCAAATTTACCCACACAGGGCCACGTGTGAAAGGCACTGGGCAGTCAGCCGGGGCTGGGGGAGACCAGGGCTGGGCACGGTTTCAGCCGTGGGTGTTTCCATGGGAAAGGCAAGCATTGGCAGAGAAAGCAGTTTCAGACTGTCCTGTTTGAACAACTCCGCTGGGGTTTGGGGTCTGCAGTGCTCTCTAGTTACCTGGCACCGATCTGACCTTTGGCTGATTTAGGACAGAGGAAATAATTGGGTTGGTGTGTGAGTGTAAGGTAAGAAAGTAATTGGGGGGAAAACTTGGGGTTTGGTTGGTTTGCACAGGAGACACAAGCTTACGCAAGTTGTCATTTTCTATAGTAATTCACTAGCCCCGTGAGGAGGATTTTTTTCCCAACCAGAAAAGTTTTTTTAAGATGTCAAAACAGGGCCTCCCTGGTGGTGCAAGAGGTTAAGTACCGCACTATGAAGCAATCTGCAGCCTCTGCGGCACGAGTTGGATCCCTCACTGGCCAGGGAGCAACCCACATGGCGCAGCAGACCTCTCCTGTCTCCCCGCTGCTTCCTTCGGCAGTGTATTTCAGTCAGTCTGTCTGTTCTGTTCCCCAGTCTGTCTCTGGTGAATCCTCTCACCCCCTGCATCTCTGGCCTGTACCCCATATGCATAAATAAATAAATCTTTGTAAAAAAAAGTCAAAACATCAAATATATAAAAAAAATACTCTGCACCTATTTATCATTTGCAAATGTATTTCCTAGCACTAACATTGTATGAATGAAAGTACTCTTGTTTTTGCAGGTGCTGTCAGTGCTAAAGCACTCACTGCTGTCCTTCAAAAAGCCCAGGGCTGTGGAAATGTTAAAGCTTTACTTTTTGTTTTCTTTGCAGTTCCTGATAAAAGAGGTATGATGTGCTTTTGTCTTTTTGTGATATAGGATGGCTACTATCTATCTCTGTTTCTTATCTTACTAATAAGTGATAGAATAATAAAAATTGGGCCATATAGTGATTGTCAGTCTCTCTTATGTTAGTATTATACACTATTTTATATTGGCGCTTAGTAACTTATTAGTGTATGTGATGAACTGAGTCATCAGACTAATAAATAATTCTTGCTTTTTAGGGCTATTTAGATCAAGAAGGTCATCCAACAGGGTTTGCGGGACTCGTATCACATTTGCATTATCACGAGCCTTCTAATTTTGCTTTTGTCCATTTTCTTGTAAGAGGCCTTTTCCATGATCTCTGTCAGCCAACCAGAAAAGGTAAGCCAGGTGTATTGTAGTGTGTAGTCCAAAAAGCGTCGCAGAAACTGACGTGAAGCTAGCACCTCAGAAATATTTTTTTTTTCTGCAAAGAGAGTATTAATTAATATTTAGATTATTTATTTTTAAATATTTATTTATTTATGAATATAAGAACTGGGGTACAGGTCAGAGGTGTGGGGAGTGAGAGGATTCACCAGAGACAGAGTGGGGAACAGAACAGGCAGATTGACCGAAGTACACTGCGGAGTGGAGCAGTGGGCGAGTCAGGAGAGGTCTTCCTCGCCATGTGGGTAGCTTCCTGGCTGGCCAGGAATCGCGCTCGTGCCGCAGTGTCTGCGGATTGCCTCAGAGGTTGCATCTTAACCCCTGCGCCACCAGGGAGGCCCAAATATTTAGATAATCTAGAGAAGATAAAGTTTCATAGCTACTAATATAGATTATGTGGAATATAGCCATATTTTGTACCTATTTCAAAATGTCAACAACTCTGGATTATTAACTTCAGGGAGTCCTTGGCTCCAGGATTCAGAGCATATTAAGTAATATATAACTTTTTAATAAGCATTTTCTTCTAACTAAATATAATAGATGCTCCTGACAAAGGATGTAGGAAAGCATTATGTTAAAAATAATGCTCATTGTTAATACTTGTGAATCTTTTCTTTCAGTTATATTTTCTTTGAATATAATTGTATAGTGTATTTAAATAGTGTCATTATTTGCCAGTGTGTATATTTTTTTTAATTACCATTTGCAGTGCTTCTTCATATTCCATTTTACCAATTTTTATTGCAAGTCTTGAGTTTTATTTTTAAACAATAAATCCCCACAAACTGTTCTTTCTTGTGTTTAAATTTCTTCCAGTTTTCAGTTCCTGGTGAATTCAATGCCTTTCACACATTATTTTACTTTATCTTCTATCATTAACTGATAGAAAAACTGCAATTTGCACAATAGGTCTAGTCACTATTCTCTGTAAATTCTTTGTCATGCAAAACAAAGATACCCCAGGAAATTCTGTCCACCGCCACCCCTGCCCCCCCCAAAAAAAATAAAATAAAGCTCTGTAAGAGAATAAATAATTTCAAGCCATAGGAATTACAGTTGTTTTTATTGATGTGTGTATGTGTGTGTGTGTGTTGGGAGTAGGGGTTGGGTGTATAAAGATGATTATAAAGATAGAGAAAGTAAGTCTGGTGACATCATGAGGCCATAATACCTCTATCATTACTTTGCAAATGAGGAAACTGAGACAAAGAGACATTAAATAAATTGCCATCGTCACAAAATTTTAGTGTTAAGAGCCAAGATTCAAATATAAGTAATTGGCTCTACAGCCCAAGTTATTAAATGTAACACCTCTGTAGCCACTACCTTAGAGTGCATTGTTGTGAAGAATACAGAGTAAGTCAAGTGGGTCATATTTTATTTCTTTTCTTTTTTTTTTAAAGATTTGTTTATACAAGAACTGGGGTACAGGCCAGAGGCGTGGGAGGGTGAGAGAATTCACCAGAGCCAGAGTGGGGAGCAGAACAGACAGATGAAGTACACTGCTGAGGGGAGCAGCGGGTGGCAGGAGTGGTCTGTGTGCCATGTGGGACCCTCGCCGGCAGCTGGGGATCGAACCGGCGCTGCTCACGCTGCTCAGGCTGCGGGCAGCTTCACAGCCCAGCGCTCAACCGCTTCACAGCCCAGAGCTCAACTAGGGGAGGCCCTAGTTTGTTTTTATGAAGCACAGAGTTGCAATCAGTTTTTTGAGTAGGTGAGAGATATGATCATAAAATGCTTTGGAAAAACATTCACCTACTAGGATAGACTGAAGAGCGGCATCTAAGTCAGGTGATAAGGCAATTTGTGGATGGGGTGAGTGGGGTCTGAACTAAAGTGGGGAAAAATGAAAGAAAGAAGGCATAGATGTAAAACTGGTAGCAGATTTAGTCATTGCTTAGTTGCTATATTTGTCATTAATTTTTAGTTCCCATGAAATAAAATTCAATGTAGCATTCAATTTAAATATTAGAAGTTGGGATTAACTAACTTTATTACATTTAAAACAAGAAATTTTATTTTGCATAGGATCAAAATGTTTTTCTCAAGATGTTATGGAAAAGCTGTTGTTGGTATTGGCACATCTGTTTGGAAGAAGGTATTTTCCAGCAAATTTCCAAGAAGCTAATATCAAGTTTCATCAATCAAAGGTAAGATTTATAGTTCTGATAATATTTAGTAATTAAGATAATTTAATAGATCCTGCCAGAATTGATGCAACAGGAGTGAGATTTTATTGTCTCGTTGTGACGTGTGGTGGCGGGATGAAAAATGGATTACCCAGAGTCCATGTCCAGAACAATGAGAACCCTAGAGAGAGTACCCCAAGAAAGTGCAGCCCAGCTCCAAGGGCAGTCTCATTTTTATTTAGAATCAGACAGAAAGTAAAAAGATCAAACAAGCAAGCAGGCAAACGGGGAGAGGCACGGAACAGTCACAGCAAAGAATAATCAAAGCAAAGACACTGAATAGTTGAGGCACACAATAATACAAGCTCCCACACAAGATTAATTTGTAGAATAATTTGTTCTTTTTGTTTTCAATGGTATGTTTAATCTGTAATTCATATTTCCCTCTATAAATCTGTGAAAAGAGAGGCACTCCTTCTGGTGGAGTATAACATCACTTGAAGGCTATCAGATCCTGTTATAAATAATTACTGATGAAAAAACCCTGAAGCTTAAAAAAAGAGAAAAAACAAAAATATATGACCAATTAGTAGGAAAGGGGCAGGCAATTGTCAACACACAGATAATATCTATTTTAAGACTAGAGATGAAATAATAGTTTACAAAATATTGGCAAAAATAAATCCAGTGAGGTTTTAAAATCCTTCATAGTCAAGTAAGGTCTATGCAATTGTACTTTGTTGCTTTCCCCACCAAGTGTGTTATTAGATTCTTTGACATATTTGCAAGTCTAATGTTATTTAAGGGCATGCTTCCTGTTAAAAGATGATTTTGATTTAATAGCAAGAAGGCAAATTATTGAGAGAAAAGGTGTTACTTTTTATAGAAGCAAATAGAACAAAATCTGAGTTTTACCTCATGAAGGAATGAGAAAGTGACCTTGAATAAACAGCTACAGAATTATATTGCATTGTTCTTTTTCCCAAGTTTTAGTTTTCAAGAGTGGTATATAGACGTCTCCAAAAAATATTTGACCTCTAGGTGTCCTTGATGATCTTCTTTATGATTTAGGTGTTCCTGGAAGACCTTCCTGAGGATTTTGATGCTGCTTTACGAGAGTATAACAAGAACATTTCAGAGGATTTTGCCTCTTTCCTACGAATTGTTTCCAAATTGGCTGATATGAAACAGGAGTATCAACTCCCATTGTCGAAAATAGGTAGGTATATCTTGGCACCATTGTAGAATAATTTAAAGAGTAAATAACCTTGTGAAGAATATTTTACCCCAGAAGAGTAGAATCCTGGATTCTCCTGAAAGATAAGTCCTCCTTAGAGTAAAAGGCTCTCTTCTGCTTTCCAAAGAAAGAAACTACGATTATTAGAAGTTAAAAGGACGAGAGAGAATGAAGCTTAAGAGTCATTTATAAGCCTTGGTAAAGGTTGCTTTTGGTTCAGGCCCAGAAGATGGAGTAATCTGTGAGATGGAGAGGAACTAAGGGCTATTTACTTTTCCTGAGGGGAAATAATGTTGGTTGTGCATAAGCATAGACTTTGGAGAGATTACCTGAGTCCAGCCGCTAATTCTGCTATTTGTTATCAGATGGACCTTGGAGAAATGACGGCATGATCATGCCTTAGCTTTCTTAGTAAATATATTAGAAAGAGAATACTAGGCTACCTAGTTTGGGTGAACTTTAAATGATTAATATATGTGAATATCTTAAAAATGGCATCTGTCGCATCGTAAATGCTTTTAAACTTTGCTTTTATGTTTCATAAACTGTTAGGTGGAATCTTCAAGAAAAAGTAAGCAAGAAAAGGTGACCAGGGTAAAAGGCAGGCATTCACTCTGCGTAGTAATTTCCTGGTTTCACTATCCGCAAACATCCTCAACTGAAAAAAGTCAAGGAAAGGGGCCTCCCTGGTGGCGCAATGGGTTAAGATGTAACCTATGAAGCAATCCGCAGCCATTGCAGCAAGAGTTTGATCCCCAGCCAGGGAGCAGCCCACATGGCGCAGCAGACCTGACTCGCCCGCTGCTCCCCTCAGCAGTGTATTTCAGTCAGTCTGCCTGTTATGTTCCCCACTTTGTCTCTGGTGAATCCTCTCACCCCCTACACCTCTGGCCTGTACCCCAGCTCTTGAATGCATAAATAAATAAATCTTTAAAAAAAGAAAAAAAATAAGAAAAAAGTCAAGGAAGTAGAGTTTGTAGTTTCCTGGGCCCCGTTAAAATGACAAAAAGCAGACGCTGGTAGTGGAGCCTCTGAGCACCCTCAGGAGGCATGACGGAGTGTGACTATTCTGTTAAAATTCAAAGCCATGTTTCTATGCATGATGCTTTATAAGAACATGCATGGTGCTTTATAAGAACACAAATAGGAAAAAAAATGTCCTTTTCACATACCATTTCCAAACCTAAAGCTAACAGTGACTACTTGGAAAGTTTCTGAGGCCAAGTCTGAGTTCAGTGGGGGAAAAAAATACCGAAGTAATACTACTTCTGAAAATAATTCTGAAGTGTAAGTAGAAAATACTGTTTATAGCCTTTTATTTCCTGTTGATCAGAGCAACTAAAATATAATACAAATTTTTATAGTAATATTTATAGTGATAGCAATATTTACTGCTAACTTTTCTGGAATGTATTCTATGCCAAGATGTGCTATTCACTTGATGTGATATATCTTTTTTTTTTTTGGTGGGACCCTTGCCTTTGGCCGGGGAATGAACTGGTGCTGCAGAGGCTGCGGGCAGCCTCGCAGCCCAGCACTCAACCGCTTCACTACCAGGGGAGGCCCGATGTGATATATCTTATTTAGTCTTTATTAGGATATGGGACTTGGAGGGCCTTAATGGTGGCACAAGGGGTTAAGTACAGTACTATGAAGCTCTCTGCAGTCACGACTTCAATCCCTGGCCGCCTGCTGCTCCCCTCAGCAGTGTATTCCAGTCAGTCTGCCTCTTCTGTGAATCCTCTCATCCCTGGCAACTCTGGCCTGTACCCCAGTTCTTGTATGCATAAATAAATAAATCTTAAAAAAAAGTTATGGGACCTGGAAACTTGTGAGTGGGTCCTCTTGTGGCATGGTCTAAGTGAGATGGTCTGGAACACATGTGTAAGCTTTAACAATTTGGCTGATTTTTAAAAACTAATCTATCCCAACCTACTCTGGTCAGATTTCACAGGGGAAAAATGTGAAGACTCCCAACTTGCATCTCACCTGATGAACTGCAAGGAAGGAAGAGTAGCTGTTTCTCCATTTTTTTGTCTCTCGGGGAACTCTGATAGTGATTTGCTTCAACCAGGAACTCCAAACCATGTAAGTGGAAAATGTGGTTTGCTATAAAGGCATTTCAGAAAGAATGGGTTTATACTTCTGGTCAGCCTAGAAAGGACTTCAGCTTTCCCAAATTGAAAACAAAAATGCCAGATGTAGCAGAAATTTCAGGTATATCCAGAAAATTGGATACATGTTCTTGAGACCAGTATGATTCATTTCTTAGTGTTGACTTGAGGGATCCTGCTTCATTCTAGAGTTCCCAGGCACTATCACTTCCATTTTTGAAGACTTTAGGGAGATTGACAGGTTTGCCTTGAAAAGAGCACATAAATTTTTTTTTCAGGCTTTCTTAGTTTTGCTATGTTACAGTAAACTCCATTTATATTCTGGATCACTGATGTCCTAGATGGAATACAAGGAATTGGACATATTTAGAAGATACTGGATAATCCATTTGAATGTTGGAATAAACTTGTAGAAATTTAATTTTACATTTTAATGCAAAAATTGAAATAGAAAATAAGCTTTATTTCATTTGATATTAAGGTTTCACACTTTATTTTGATTTTACTTGCCCTGGTATAATTTTACCTTATGCTACCGCTATATGTATCTATCTGTCCTGCCCTTCTTCCCTCCCAAGGAATCATCCTCTCCATCATATTTCTTAGCTTAAATAGTGTATACTTTCAATTTCATAGTTATTTTCTGTTGATTACAGAAACTTGAAAATAATACAAATTTTGGTAATTATTAAAAGTAAATTTAATATTGTGTTGGAAATGCATATATTAATGAGATAGGCTATTTCTTTTTGAATTAGTCCATATAAAATATTGGATGAATATTTACTTATTTTCAGAATAAGACAGTGTTCTAATTTCAGATCTCAATGTGCATACTAAGATACCTTAGTCAAATAGATGTTAAGAATGGGACAACTTTTGTTATAATAATAATACACAATTTTTCTAATTCCTTTTGAGTTACATGCCTCATATCATCATCAATGTTTACTTTTAATTTATCTTAACTGACAACTTGATTAGATTCACTTTCTATTTTGTTGAATTCAAATTGGAAACTACCTATTTTTTTAATATTTAAAATCTGGATGATTGAAATTGTCATTATTATGCTGTGAGGCAGCAGTGTTTATGGACAGAGCCAATCCATTCTTTAGGTTTGCTTAGGATTTCTCCAGACCAGTGTATGTGAAGACATTCTTTTCCTTTCCCTTGAGGAAAGTGCTTTAAAAATATTGATCAACAGTAGTGACTATAAAGCATGATGAAGAAACCATGAACATTCCTTACTCATAAATGGCAAATTAAGAGAAATTGTATTTCTGCAGGCCATTGTGGACACAATCAATATCAATCATAATCAGGCTCCTATGCTGAGTTCAAAGAAATATGATTGCCAAGGAAGAAGAATGCCTCTTAATGCTTATGCACTGGATTTCTATAGACATGGTTCCCTGACAGGATTAGTCCAGGACAACAGGTATGTTCTCGAGCTCACTCTGGCTTTCTCTCTTGCTCTCTCGCTCTCTAACAAGCTCTTTCTCTCTTGTTACAGTTCTCCCTCAAGGTTTGTTATTTCTACCTCCACTTCTTACCTCTGTCTTTTTGTCTATATCCATGTCCATGTCTTTCATTTCTACTTTACCTGTATTTCTATATCTGTCTCCATCTCTATGGTTATCTATACTCCATCTCTTTATTGATGTCAAATGGATGAACTTAACAAATTTTAAGTAAAAGTGTTCTTATAATTTCAAGTGTAACCTAATCGTGCAATTCTTGTTATTTTTATTCATATTTTACCAGCCATATCTTGGGGCTTACAGTAACTCATTTGACATAAAGATATCCTCTACAGATAAAAATATTTGCACATATTCACAGATATATTTTCATTTGTTACTCTATTATTTATTCATTATTAGACTTTTGCAAACTGAACAGCAGTAGGAAATAGTGCCATGCTCTCCATTATCTGAGAAGAGTATACATAAAGCATATAATAATTCACATTATTGAGGATTGAGACCATGATCTTTACTTTAGCCATTTAGCAAGAAAACCATTTTCAATGAGAGTAAGCAGGGGTAAATCAAAATCCAGGATTCCACCAAAAAAAAAAAATCAGGATTAGAGAAATTAGGCATTGAAGGCATAGGTGTCTGTAGGATTTCACACCAATCAGGATTTAAATATACAATGTACATACAATTTTGAACAATATATATTAAAATATATAAAACTTGACACACTTGAAAAATGATCATTTAAAAATTATGATTCATTTTTGTGAATAGAGTAGTTGTGATATTTATTAGTAAATAATTCATTTGTCTTTATCCTTTTGGTTTTTTAGCTCCCTTCATCCTTCTGAACTTTAATTTCTTACATTGGTTTTCTCCTGAGATGAGCAACCTCTCGGGTTCATTGATTCTTTGTGGTTCTGACACTTGTTACTTTGGAATTCATAATCATCATTCCCATCGATTAAATCATTATCTGGGAGTCTATGAAAGAAATGATCCTTGTAAATAATCAATTTTTGATCAATATTCAGTAAATTATTAATAAATCCAACATTTCCATCTGAAATAAGTTAATTTTTTATACTATTAATTTTCTAAATGTTGTTTTGTTTAGGATGAATGAAGGAGAAGCCTATAACATGTTGAAAGATTTTGCACTCACCATTAAAAGTATCAGGTGTGTTATATATTTTAAATACTAATTTCAGAGCTCTAAAAATATAATAATTTAAAAATGTTGAATTCATATTTACAGATGTCATTGAGTCTAATTGGTGTTATGAATTTCAACTCCCCAAAGGTTTTACAGAACTTCTTAATACTCTGTGGTATTGTCTCTGTAATGGAATTAGTTCCACAGTTCCTTTGACATAAAATTCCACCTAGACTAGAGGCTTAGTCCTAGTCACACTGTACCAAAATAAACCCAGTCACTGAAGGCATAGATGTCAATAAGATTTCACTATGCAATGTACATACAGTTGTGCCTTGTGGTCACAATGATGGGTTTATAACTAGGAGGAAATTTAGTTTTGTCGATACAGATCAAAGAAGACACTAAGAAAAAAACAAACTCTGAAAATAAGGTAAATAATCAGATCATGACTGTTTTCAGTCTTTCATCAAGCAAGTTGCGTTATTTATTTTTGGATTTCCTTTCTCCTTTCTTGCCACCTGCATATTAGTTTCTTACTGTTGCTGTCAGAAATTGCTACAAACTTAGTAGTTTAAGCCAACTTAATTTTTCCATTTCAAGGTCAACTGAGTAGGAATTTCTATCTGCAATCTTAATTCTTCTTTGCTATGAAACCTACCACATTCATAGCTTTGGAGGACATTATTCTGTCTTCCTTTAGAAAAGGTTTCAGCAGATACTGGATACAGTAACAGAACACAAAATGAGTCTGTAAGGGATGTGTGAAGAAAGGAAGGGAAGCTATTATTTTATTTTTTTTAATTTTATTTTTAAATTCCCCATACAATTGCAACCCCCTTATTTTGACCCCAATCCCTCCTTCCCCGCTCCACCATAGTGTGTCTCTGTGTCATAGTTGTTTGTTGATTTTGAGTTTTTCTTTTTTTTTTTTTTTTTATTTTTTTTTAATATTAAATTTTATTTTTATATTCCCCCATACAATTGCAAATGCCCCATTCTGACCCCAATCCTTCCCTCCCGCCCCCACCCCCCAAAAAGTGTCTCTGGTTCATAGTTTTTTGTTGATTTTGATTTTCACTTTCTTTTTTTTTTTTTTTTTTTTGTTTTGATAATTCTTTTTTTTTTTTTTTTTTTTATAAATTTTATTGTTATATTCCCCATACAATTGCAGCCCCCATTCTGACCCCAATCCCTCCCCTCCCGCCCCCGCCCGCCTAAAAGTGTCTCTGGTTCATAGTTTTTTGTTGATTTTGATTTTCACTTTCTTATAGTTATTCATTTTCCTGGTCCCTTATTTAAGTTTTCTAGATTCCTGCTATGAGTGAGACCATCCGGTATTTTTCTTTTTCTTTTTGGCTTATTTCGCTGAGCATGATCCCTTCCAGCGCCATCCATGTTGCTGCAAATTGCATGTGTTTATCTTTCTTGAATGCTGAGTAATATTCCATGGTATATATGTACCACATCTTCTTGATCCAGTCATCTATTTTTGGGCATTTGGGTTGTTTCCAAAGCTTAGCTATTGTAAACAGTGCTGCTATAAACATAGGGGTGCAGGTGTTCTTTGGAATTGATGTTTCTGTGTCCTTTGGGTAAATACCTAGGAGTGGAATTGCTGGATCATATGGAAGCTCTATGTTTAGTAGGTCCAGAAATCTCCACACAGCTCTCCACAGTGGTTGGACCAGTTTGCACTCCCACCAACAGTGCAGAAGAGTTCCTTTTTCTCCACACCCTCGCCAGCATTTGTTGTTGCTAGTTTTTTTAATATGTGCCATTCTCACTGGTGTAAGATGGTATCTCATGGTAGTTTTGATTTGCATTTCCCTGATGGCAAGTGATGTTGAACATTTTTTCATATGCCTGTTGGCCATTTGCATTTCCTCTTCAGAGAAGTTTCTTTTTAGCTCTTCTGCCCATTTTTTGACTGGATTATTTTCTTTGTTGTTGCTGAGTCTCATCAGCTCTTTGCAGATTTTTGTGATCAGTCCTTTATCATTAGTGTTGGGTGCAAAAATGTTCTCCCAGTCAGTGGGGTTTCTCTTTGTTTTTGTTATTGTCTCTTTTGCTGTGCAGAAGCTCTTTAATTGATGTAGTCCCAGCTGTTTATCTTTGCCTTCACTATCACTGCTTTGGGTGATGTGTCTGTAAAGATGTCTTTGATGTGCAGATCACGTAGTGTTTCGCCTATATTTCCTTCTATATATTTTATGGTTTCAGGTCTTATGTCTAGTTCTTTAATCCATTTTGAGTTGATTTTTGTGTATGGTGTGAGGTAGTGGTCAAGCTTCATTCTTTTGCATGTAGCGACCCAGTTTTCCCAGCACCATTTATTGAACAAACTTTCTTTGCTCCAATGCATAGTCTTTGCTCCTTTGTCAAAGATTAGTTGACCATAAATCTGTGGATTTATTTCTGGATTTTCTATTCGATTCCATTGGTCTGTATGTCTGTTCTTGTTCCAATACCATGCAGTTTTGATGATTATGGCTTTGTAGTATAGTTTGAAGTCTGGGAGTGTAATGCCTCCATTCCCTTCTTTTTTTTTCAGGAGAGCTTTGGCTATTCGGGGTTTTTTGTGATTCCATATGAATTTCATCAATAATTGTTCTATTTCTTTGAAGAATGACATTGAAATTTTGATTGGAATAGCATTGAATCTGTATATTGCTTTTGGAAGGATGGCCATTTTAATAATGTTTATTCTTCCAATCCACGAGCAGGGATGTCTCTCCATTTCTTTGTGTCTTCTTCTATTTCTTTTAACAGTGTTTTATAGTTTTCTTTGTATACGTCCTTTATCTCTTTTGTTAGATTTATTCCCAAATATTTGATTTTTTTTGTTTCAATAACAAAAGGGATGGTTTTTTTGATTTCTTCTTCTTCAGATTTATTGTTTGTGTATAGGAAGGCTACTGACTTTTGCATGTTGATTTTGTATCCTGCCACTTTACTGAACTGATTGATGAGTTGAATTAGCTTTTCTGTGGAGTTTTTGGGGTTCTCTATGTATAATATCATATCGTCTGCAAATAGTGATAGTTTGACTTCTTCTTTTCCTATTTGGATTCCTTGGATGTCTTTCTCTTGTCTTATTGCCCTGGCTAGGACTTCCAGTATTATATTGAAAAGCAGTGGTGAGAGTGGACATCCTTGTCTTGTTCCAGATCTTAATGGAATTGCTTTCAGCTTTTCACCATTGAGAATGATGCTGGCTGTTGGCTTGTCATAGATGGCCTTTATGATGTTGAGGTATGTTCCTTGTATCCCAAGAATTTCAAGGGCTTTTATCATGAATGGGTGTTGCACTTTGTCGAAAGCTTTCTCAGCATCTATTGATATTATCATATGGTTTTTATATTTCTTTTTGTTGATGTGTTGGATAACGTTGATTGATTTTCGGATGTTAAACCATCCTTGTGCCCCTGGAATGAATCCTACTTGGTCGTGGTGAATTATCTTATGGATACATTGTTGGATTCTGATGGCTAAAATTTTATTGAGGATTTTTGCATCAGTGTTCATTAGGGAGATTGGCCTATAGTTTTCCTTTTTAGTGTTGTCCTTGTTCGGTTTTGGTATTAGTGTAATATTGGCTTCATAGAACGTGTTTGGTATTGTCCCTTCCTTCTCAATTTTTTGGAAGAGTTTGTGAAGGATAGGCACTAATTCGTCTCTGAATGTTTGGTAGAATTCATTTGTAAATCCATCAGGTCCTGGGCTTTTGTTTTTGGGGAGGTTTTTGATTACCATTTCAATTTCGCTAATTGTAATTGGTCTGTTTAGGTGTTCTATTTCTTCTTTATCTAGCTTTGGGTGATTGTAGAGTTGTAGGAATTTGTCCATCTCCTCTAGATTATTAAACTTATTTCCATATAACTGTTCATAGTAGTTACTGATTATTCTTTTGATTTCTGCTGTGTCCGTTGTGATTTCTCCTCTTTCATTGATGATCCTGTTTATTTGTGCTTTCTCCCTTTTTTCCTTTGTGAGCCTGGCTAAGGGTTTGTCTATTTTATTGATTTTTTCAAAGAACCAGCTCTTGGTTTCATTGATCTTTTGGATTGTTTTTTTAGTTTCAATTTCATTTATTTCTGCTTTGGTTTTTATTATTTCTTTTCTTCTACTGGTTTTGGGGTTTTTTTGTTGTTCTTTTTCTAGATCTTTGAGCTTCGAGATTAGGTTGTTTCTTTGAGTTCTTTCTTGTTTCTTGATGTGAGCTTCTATTGCTATATATTTTCCTCTTATTACTGCTTTTGCTGCATCCCATACATTTAGGATATTGGTGTCCTCCTTGTCGTTCAATTCAAAAAATTTTTTAATTTCTTCTTTGATCTCCTCATTAGTCCAGTGGTCTTCCAGTAGTGTGGTTTTTAATCTCCATGAGGTAGGAAAGTTCCTTGCCTTCTTTTTATGGTTTAGTTCTAGTTTGATGCCTTCATGGTCAGAAAAGATGGTTGGTATGATTTCAATCTTGGTGTATCTGTTGATGTTTGTCTTGTGCCCCAGTATGTGATCGATCCTGGAGAATGATCCGTGTGCGCTTGAGAAAAATGTGTACTCCATTTTTTTGGGGTTTAGTGTTCTATAGATGTCTGTTAAGCCCAATTGCTCTAGGTCCTTATTTAGAGCTTTGGTTTCTTTACTTATTTTTTGTCTTGTTGATCTATCCATTGTTGATAGTGGTGTGTTGAAGTCTCCCACTACGTATGTGTTTTCTCTGATGTCTGTTTTCAGAGAAGACAACAGTTGTCTGATATATTTTGGTGCTCCTTCGTTTGGTGAGTATATGTTAATGAGTGTTATTTCTTCTTGAAGTATTGTCCCCTTGATCATAATGTAGTGACCATTGGGGTCTCTTTTTATCTTTTTGAGTTTGAAATCTGTTTTATCTGATATAAGTATAGCTGTTCCTGCTTTCTTTTTTGGCCCATTTGCTTGTAGGATTGTTTTCCATCCTTTGACTTTGAGCCTATTTTTATCTTTTGTAGCTAAATGTGTTTCCTGGAGACAGCAAAAGGTTGGGTTTTGTTTCTTAATCCAGGCTGCAACTCTGTGTCTTTTTATTGAAGAGTTTAGTCCATTTACATTTAGAGTTAATATTGATATGTTAACATCTGTATTTGCCATTGTGTTTGTCTTTCCTTTGATTTTATTTATTTATTCTTTTAATAACTTTTTTTTTTTTTTGGCCTTCTTTCATTGTTATTCGTCCCTCTGAGGTTCTGGCTTTAGGACTCCTTGTAGTATTTTTTGGAGTGGGGGTTTAGTTGCAATGAAATTCCGGAGTTTCTGTTTGTCTGGGAAGGTCCATATTCTTTCTTCAAAGAGGAAGGAGAGCTTTGCGGGATAGAGTATTCTTGGTTGGCATCTGTTTTCTTGGAGTCTGTTGACTATGTCCCTCCACTCTCTCCTTGCCCGTAGTGTTTCTTCGGAGAAGTCTGATGTCAGCCTGATTGGCTTTCCTTTGAATGTTATCTGTTTCTTCCCTCTTGCCAGCTTCATTATTTGAGTTTTTCTTTCTTAAAGTTATTCTTTTTTCTGGTCCCTTATTTAGGTTCTCTAGATTCCTGCTATGAGTGAGACCATCCGTTATTTTTCTTTTTCTTTCTGGCTTATTTTGCTGAGTATGATCCCAGGAAGGGAAGCTTTTAAAGGAAGAAGGGATAGGAATGTGGAATTTTGTGACCTTTCAAAATCTTGGTAGTAGACATGGACAGGAACTGCATGGAACTTGTTCTATTTATTTAGTACAAGGTTTTTATTTTTAGATAATTATGCTTCTTATCAGTGTTTATATTTTACTAACATTTCATCTTCCAGTGAGATTTACTTATTTCTGTGTACTTGAGGAAAGTCCTGCTTATAATACCCTCACTAAAGTGGGTGGTTTGTTGCATTTATAATATATGTATTTCCATTTACAGTGTTTCCTTGAGAGAGCTGTGTGAAAATGAAGAAGACAATGTGGTCTTAGCATTTGAACAGCTGAGTGAAACCTTTTTTAATAAATTTAGTGTTGTCTAAAAACAAACATCGGGCCTCCCTGGTGGCACAAAGGGTTAAGATGCAACCGATGAAGCGATCCACAGCCTCTGCAGCATGATTTCGATCCCCGGCCAGGGAGCTACCCACATGGCACAGCAGACCTCTCCTGACTCACCCGTTGCTCCCCTCAGCAGTGTATTTCAATCATCTGCCTGTTCTGTTCCCCATCCTGTCTCTGGTGAATCCTCACTCCTCACACCTCTGGCCTGTACCCCAGCTCTTGTATGCATAAGTAAATAAATCTTTAAAAAAAAAAAAAAGTAAAAACAAATGTCCATCCAAACTACTTAAAATATTGCCTTAGGCTTTTCTCAAGTCATGTTTTGTGATTCTCCTGCTTTTCGTCAGAAATGCTATATATAACGACGTAGAAAGAGCAAGCACAGTGGAGCCAGAGTTGCCATCGAACCTACCGTGTGCTCTCATGAATTCCTTTTTAATATTATTGAATATCTCAAATTTGGTTTCTTTATAAAGTTGAGTGATGCTGCTTATGTACCAGCTAGTTTACAGATTGCAAGGATTTTTGATGTGATTAAAGAGTAAATTTTTACTCTGTGAGGCCTAAACAAATATATTCTCAGTTGTTTTTCTCCTCAATGTCATAATTTGTAAAAAGTTTTATAAGTTAGAGTAAATGATTACAGTGTCCTGAAATGAAAATATATTCTCTCAGATTAATTTACATGAGCGTATGTGACTTAGATATTTGGGTATCAGTAACTTCTAGTAAGTGTAAGCTAAATTTTAATATATTTATATAAATAAGAGTATTGGTATAATTTTTAAAATGTTTTCAAATAAAAACATACATGATGATTTGGCTTGATTTTAATTGTATCCAAGTGACTGGAAAACCATAAATAAATAAAATGAGTTTAATCTGCTTACTTCTTGTGTCTTTGTGTTAAATCTATGCATCTGTTAACCCATTTGCACACATTTTATATTCAATATTATATACATAATCATTTTCCCTGCATAGCCTCAACCTCAGATAACATTCTATTTTAGACTCTAAACTTGAGTAGAACCTTTCATCCTCAGAGCAAAAGGTCAATTCTTTCTTACTACTCAGATGACATTATTATACATAGGTGATATGTATAATAGATGACACTATTATACATAAATGATATTGGATTAGAAAAATATCTGTGGCTCATTTTGTTTGGAGATGAAATACTCTTATTTCCTGAAACTGATTCATTAGTAGATGTACCATGTTAGGGGTTTCTATTTCTTTTTGCTGAAACAATTTTCGTTGTTTTCAAATACATACTACAAACAATTTCGGAAAGCCAAGAACTAAGAAACCAAAATGATTTCTGTTGCTTCTTAATCGCTGAAACAATGAAAGACAATATATTATCCCATTGGGTTTTTTTTACCCCAGTAATTTCATAAACCTGAGGGAGACATGAAGATGTATTGTTCCATATGACTGAGTCAATCTGGCTCTCTAAATTTTAGAATAAGATTATGTCTTGCGATCTGGTATTCTTAAAAGAGTGGGTTATTCCCAGCCCCTCAGAGTTGAATCCTAATGGACAGCCCTTTTTAATTTTTAGCAACAGCATTGGAACTACTCATGAAGACAGTTTACATAGGAATTCTGAAGTCATTTTATATTTTAATTGTAATAATATTATAATGTGATTTTCTTGTTAAGAAGCATACACAGAGACCCTGGTGAGATTTAATGGAGAATGATTAATATGGCCATAATTTATTCCCATGTTTTTTCCCGAGAGGAAAAGATGATATTTTTTCCCAAGAGAGGAAAAGAGGATCTTCTTGAATAGCTGTTTATTTAAAATTTTTATTTTCAGAAAATTGTAGATGCAGATGCAGTAACAAGAAATAACCCAGAAAAATCCCATATAGATGTAATCAGTTTACTGAAAGGTAAAGTCTTGCATAAATAGTATAATACAATATCAGAACTGGGAAATGAATGTAAAAATAAACCATTATTCAGATGTCTTCAGTTTTATATCATTTACTCATTTGTGTGTATTTAGATCTATGCAATTTTATTGCCTTTGTAGGTTTGTGTATCTACAATCACAGTGGAGATACACCAGCTCTCCCTTCAACTCCCCCCTACCCGATTCTCTACCCGTCCGCAAGTCCCTAACCTCTGGAAACCACTAACTCTTCTCTATTTCTGTAATTTTGTTATTGTGAGACTTCTATAAATGGAACAATACAGCATAGAATCTGAAATTGGCTTTTTTTCCCTAGCATAATTCCCAACACCCCCTTTTCCAAGGTTTTGCCTGTAGCAATAGTTAATTGCTAAATAGGATCCCACAATATGGACATATCCAAGTTTGTTAAAAGCCATTCAATGCATTGAAAGACTTTTGGGTTGACTATGGAAAGCTGTCAGGAAGTTCCTCAGTCTACTAAAAATGGAGCTACCATATGACCCGGCAATTCCATTCCTGGGGATCTACCTAAAGGACACAAAAACATTGATTCAAAAGACCACCTGTACCCCTATGTTTACTATAGCACTATTTATAGTAGGTAAAACCTGGAAAAAACCCAAATGCCCAAAAACAGATGACTGGATCAAGAAGATGTGGTACATATACACCATGGAATATTACTCAGCAATCAGAAAAGATAAACTCATGCCATTTGCAGCAACATGGATGGAACTAGAAGGAATTATGCTCAGTGAAATAAGCCAGAAGGAAAAATAAAAATATCGGATGGTTTCACTTATAGCAGGAATATAGGGGACCCAATAAGGCATCAGTGTAAAAAAATAATAACAGCACAAAACACAACAAAGCTAAAACAGACAATGATAAATCAGAGACAATCTGCAGGGGAGGAGGAGGGAGAGGGATCAGAGGGAGGGAGGGAGGAGCACAGGGGCTGAGGTGATGGTGCACGAGTGCATTGGGGAAGGAAACTATGGGGACTCCACCTGAGGGGTGGAAGCAAATATTGTTTCAAAATGAACAATGATGTAAAAAATAAAAAAAATAATTAAAAAATTAAAAAGAAAGACTTTTGGGTTGTTTCCATTTTGGGTTTGTGTTTATTTTCCTGCCTTACATGATATTTTTTGGATTCCATTTTTATTTATAGTGTTTTGAAGAGTATCACCTCCTATAGGTTTTAGCACCTAACCTTTTCTTCGGTTCTTTACCCTCCTCACTTATGTAGTTGTCTTAAGAATACACACCTGGAGCTCCGTATCAGATGATGTTCAAAATTTCACTTCAGCATCAAATATGATTTAAAAACTCACGAGACTATCCTATTTAGTCCTATTTTCACCCATTCTGATTTTCTTTACTTTCTGAAAGGCCAGGTTCTTTTTTGTGATGATTTCCTCTCTATTTAGAGAAATTCCTTTACCTCATCTTGAAGAGTAGTTTTGCTAGTGAACTGGTAGAATTGTAGAATTTCTAATGACAAGCTTTAAAAAATTTCAGGTTTTGAAAAAAGTCATGCCTCTTCCTCTGACCTGCCTGGTTCAGGTGAGAAATCCATTGTCATTTTTGTTGGCGTTGGTTATATGCTGCTTTTCTCCGTGTGCTTTCAATACTCTTCTGTCCTTAGTTTCAGAAGCTTAGTTATGTTTCCTTTGTATCTTTTGTTTTACTTGGGATTTACTTCATTTTTTCAATCTATAGCTGTATATCTTCTGCTAAAATTGGGATGTTTTTCTGAGTATCTTTTTCAACTCTGTATTTTCTCCTACTTTTCAGACTCCCATCAAATAAATGGTAGCTGTTTTGTATTGCCATGCAGACCCGTAAATTCTGTTCATTTCTTTTTTCAGCCTACTTTCTCTTTCTTAATCAGATTAATGAATTCCACTGAACAAGGCCACTGACTCTACCCTGTGCCATTTCTACCCCACTATTGAGCTCTTCTGGCAATTGAAAAAAATTCCTTACTGTATTTTCCATTCTAAAACTCTCATTTCATTGTTTTAAATATGAATTTTCTATCTTTGCTGAGATTTTCCATTTTATAGAATGTATTTCCAGAGAATGTGTAATTGCTTGTTGAAAGAGTTGAATGATGGATGCTTTAAAATCCTGTCAGATGACTCCAATATCAGATTCATCATGGGATTGGCATCAACTGGTGGTCTTTTCTCATTCAACTTGTGACTTCCCTTGTTATCGGTTTGAAGATTGATTTTTTTTTTTTAAATTGTATCCCTTTGGACATTTTGGATGTTATGGAACTGATAATTCTATTTAATAGACTTTTTAGCAGGCAATCTCTTTAGTGAGGTCTATACATATAGCATGAGATCTGATGGGTGTTCAGCTTCCTTCTGGTTCTGCTGACACCTCTCTGGCAAAAGGAGCACAGGTTTAGTCTGCCCCATGTAGATTAGTGTCATCGTTCAAGGTCAGCCTCCCTGACAATCCTTCTATTACCTTCCTGGTGAAAGTGGAGCAGTGCCACCACTGCCTCTGAGTGGAGGTTTACATGAGCTCCCCATGGGTCTTGCTGACACCAGGGAGGGGGAAAAACCAAAATTGGATTCCCACTGCTCTGTTGTGTCAGGGTGACAGCTGTTACAGGAATGGGGTGGGGGAGGGGGCAAAGTTGATCAATTCCACTTTGCATGACCTCATACTTCCTCAAAGATGTTGGGTGGAGGTGAAGGCTCTGTCTGCCATTGTCTCAACCATAGATGAACAGGAAGAGGGGACAGTGCTGATAAACACCACCTCACTCTGCCTTGTTCATTCTCATGACTGCCAGGTAAAGGAGATGCTCAAAAATGGCCCCACTGACACAAGGGGAGGGTGAAGCACAGTGGTGATCAGGCCTTCCTCACACTGCCTGGGTAACTCTCCATGCTGTCAGGTGCATGGAAACTCAGCTCCTTGGGCCTCAGTGATACTGTCTTGGTGGCATCTAAGCAAGACTTCCTTCTACTGGGCAGGGGATGGAACATGAGCTTCCTACTCTTTCCTGCTGAATTGGCAATGGGGGAGAGTTGCTGTTTTATCCTGTTAGGGTTTAGAAGGAGTAGGATAAATTATCAAAAAACTTTTCTGTTGTTTGAGTCCTCTTTTCAGATCCTTTGACTGGGAAGAATATTGTGTAGAGGCTGTAATGGATAAGCTTTTTTTTAGAGTTTTTATTATCTGTGCCTGTTAGTAGATATGCAGAATATAGGCCAGAATGTATGGGCAGTAAGAGGAAACGCAGAGATGGCATGGCCATGTTCTTCTGGGAGTCTGAAGGTC